GAACAAACTTTGTAGATATTTACTTAAAGATGTTTCATGCTTAATATCTAAACTCTAGCTATTTGTTTTTTTTCAAAGAAGTTTTTTAAGTTTTTGCTAAACACATATAAGGAAAATCAATGACACCTGGGGCGGGGCCAGTTTTGACCCCAGGGCTTTAATTTAAACATACTTGGTAGACACCCATTAGAACATGTTTCATGCTAAATATTTTAGCTCTAGCTCTTTGGGTTCTTTAAAAGAAGATTTTTTAAGTTTTTACTATATGCATATAGGGAAAATCAATGACCCCCTGGGGCGGGGCCAATTTTGACCCCAGGGCTTTTATTTGAACAAACTTGGTAGACATTCACTAGAAGATGTTTCATGCCAAATATCTAAGCTCTAGCTCTTACGGTTCTTTAAAAGAAGATTTTTTAAATTTTTACTATATGCATATAGGGAAAATCAATGACCCCCCAGGGCGGGGCCAATTTTGACCCCAGGGCTTTTATTTGAACAACTTTGGTAGACACTCACTAGAAGATGTTTCATGCCAAATATCTTAGCTCTAGCTCTTTGGGTTCTTTAAAAGAAGATTTTTTAAGTTTTTACTATATGCATATAGGGAAAATCAATGACCCCCTTGGGCAGGCCAATTTTGACCCCAGGGCTTTTATTTGAACAAACTTGGTAGACATTCACTATAAGATGTTTCATGCCAAATATCTAAGCTCTAGCTCTTACAGTTCTTTAAAAGAAGATTTTTTAAGTTTTTACTATATGCATATAGGGAAAATCAATGACCCCCGGGCGGGGCCAGTTTTGACCCCAGGGATTTAATTTGAACAAACTTGGTAGACACTCATTAGAAGATGTTTCATGCTAAATATCTTAGCTCTAGCTCTTTGGGTTCTTTAAAAGAAGATTTTTTAAGTTTTTACTATATGCATATAGGGAAAATCAATGACCCCTGGGGCGGGGCCAATTTTGACCCCAGGGCTTTTATTTGAACAAACTTGGTAGACATTCACTAGAAGAAGTTTCATGCCAAATATCTAAGCTCTAGCTCTTACAGTTCTTTAAAAGAAGATTTTTTAAGTTTTTACTATATGCATATAGGGAAAATCAATGACCCCCTGGGGCGGGGCCAATTTTGACCCCAGGGCTTTAATTTGAACAACTTGGTAGACACTCATTAGAAGATGTTTCATGCCAAATATCTAAGCTCTAGCTCTTAGGGTTGTTTAAAAGAAGATATTTAAAGATTTTTCTTTCGGTTGCCATGGCAACCAGAGTTCTGCATGGAATTAAATTCTTTGAACAATTTTTAAAGGTGACCACCAAAGGAACATTCCTGTGAAGTTTGGATGAAATTGGCTCAGTGGTTTATGAGGAGATGTCATTTAAAGCAAAAGTTTACGGACGGACGACGGACGACGGACGGACGGACGGACGGACGACGGACGGACGCCGGACGAAAAGCGATCACAAAAGCTCACCCTGTCACTTTGTGACAGGTGAGCTAAAAATAAACAAAGGGGAATAATTCAAAAATTAGGCAAGGCAGAGTTACATTTCTTGTGCACTGCACACCTACTTAATGAGATCTATCTACGTTGATACCTCTTAAAATTTTAGAGTTATGTCCCAGACAAAGTTCAAAGTGTATAATAAACAAAGGGGGATAATTCAAAAATTAGGCAAGGCAGAGTTGCGGTTCTTGTGCACTGCACTTCTACTCAATGAGATCTATCTAAGTACAAAGTTTCCTGTTGATACCTCTTATATTTTAGAGTTATGTCCCGGACAAAGTTCAAAGTGTAAAATAAACAAAGGGGGATAATTCAAAAATAAGACAAGGCAGAGTTGCGGTTCTTGTGCACTGCACTTCTACTCAATGATATCTATCTACCTACAAAGTTTCATGTTGATACCTCTTATATTTTTTTAGTACTGTCCCGGACAAAGTTCAAAGTGTAAAATAAACAAGAAACATGGCAATGCCACGAAACCAGGTTTTCAATTATCCCCATTGTAGATAAATATGTTGTATTTGAAATACAAATACAAGCAACAAACAATGTAACTATGTGCAATGTAAAACATGAATAATGTAGGAGGAATTGCCACAGAGGAAGTGTTCACAATATATTCTGTATAAGGAAAAAAAACCAAGGGCCATAATTAGGTAAAAAATTATCCAATCACAAAACCCCGACAATATGCGCCAGGGCACTGGATGACAAAGCTTCTGTGAAAGTTTGAACAAAATCCGTTGAGAAATGTAGGAGTTCAGCACAGAAGAATTTTTTCACTATATATTTTCTGTAAAAGGAAAAAAAACAAAGGGCCATAATTAGGTCAAATATTATCCAATCACAAAACCCTGACAATATGCCCCAAGGCACTTGATGACAAAGCCTCTGTGAAAGTTTGGTCTAATTCCATTGAGAAATGTAGCAGGAGTTGCACACAGAAATAATTGTTCACTATATATTCTATAAAAGGGAAAAAACAAAGGGCCATAATTAGGTCAAATATTATCCAATCACAAAACCCAGACAATATGCGCCAGGGCACTTGATGACGAAGCTTCTGTAAGAGTTTGGTCAAAATCCGTTGAGAAATGTAGGAGGAGTTGCGCACAGAAGAAATTGTTTACGCCTGCCAAGTCAACCATATGCCCGCCCACCCATCCGCCCTCAATCTAGTAACCAGTTTTTTCCTTCGGAAAACCTGGTTAACAAAGGGGGATAATTCTGAAATTAGGCAAGGCAGAGTTAATGTTCTTGTGCACTGCACACCTACTCAATGAGATCTATCTACCTACAAAGTTTCATGTTGATACCTGTTGTTGTTTCAAAGTTATGTCCCGGACAAGAAAAGCGGACGGACGGAAAGACGGACGGACAAGGCGGTGACTATAATTATGCTCCCCCAAAATTTTTTGGGGAGCATAATAATTAAAACAATTCAAAGACAGGCTATAAAGTAAGAAGAATTTATATAATTTATGCATTTTTATTTACATACCCATGTATTGTAGAACACTTTTAATGACAAATTCAGGATAAAATTTTCATGTATCAAATATATTACAATAACAAAAACATGATCATCAATTATTTCAACATGATGACTTTAACATGATAGCAACATGATACAATCTTTACCGCAAGCAGCTTGCAAAATTTATACTATAAATAAACTTCAAATAAAAATTTTACCAATTACAGTACACATATACATTCATATAACTCTACATAGAAACATTTTCTCTAATCTAATTAATCATACACAACAATTCATTCGTTCATGATACAACCTACCATTCAGAAGACAGGATTATTTTACGGAATATTTAAAAACATGCGTATTTATGTTGTTCATCAAAAGATGACAAATAGCGGAGATAAAATTATTATAACTATTACACATCTCTATTTGACAAATGGACTTGTCTCTAGTTGTAAACTTGTCCTTTGTGACAGTTTTATTTATTTTTCAAAAATAATTGAGAAATTAGCTACCACCCACACAGACACAGATCAGACTGCGTGGATTTTAAGACTGGCCTGGTTCTTTATTAGTGGTCGTCGTTCTTGCAAACTAGAATATTAAACCTCAAAACTTATAACTTGCTGAATGTATGTAATTGATTTGCCCTCATTTGAAGATAAAAATGCAAAAAGCCAAAAAGTAGGTTAAAAAAATCAGTGTAGAGCCTGCTGAGGTATGCATGGAAGTATAGACTGGCCTGACTCTATACTGTTGGCATGGCATACCATTTTTGTCCCAGCAGGTTAAGGTAAGAACTGACAATAATTTAACATTTTCCTGTTACCTCCTCGACAATATATATAACAAACTTAAAATTGATCATATTGAATATTTACAATCCTTCTTTTTTTCACAAAAAGAATTAATATTGCATTAAAAGGACTTTCAAAACCATAAAAATTTCATTGAAAAAACTTTAAATCAAAATTTTTCCATTACAATATATCTTCTATAAAATGGATAGTGTGTCATTTAGCACTTTTCAAAATGACCTACCTGATATTTTTGGTCATGTTTACAACACTTTCAGATCCAAACAACATCTATAGATGTTTTCAGTAAGTTACACAGCAATTTTCATCATCAACAACACAACATTCATACTTTCTTTTACTCATCAACACATTTTTTTTTCATAACCCACACAAAATGCATACATACAAGTTCATTTACAAGAAAAATTTCAACATTCACACAACATTTTTGGTCTCATATATACAACAATGTTCAACAAGCACTCAACATCTGCTAGTAGTAAACATATTCAAATCATATATAGATAATTAACACAACATTGCTCATGAAACAGTCAACACAACATCTGCTTTCATTTTCATCCAACAATTTAAATCAATAATTTTATCACCTATTCAATGCATTAAATCATGCAAGTCAGTTCAATTCCATGCAACATACCCTTGATAAACTTACCAGTCCTTTCAGAAGAAAAAATACGGAATTAATTAAATATCATTTATGGAATTTAGATTTAAGCAATATATCTCAAATACAACGTAAGAGAAAGTTTATACATAATTAATCTTACAGTTAATATGTATTGAAAAATAACGAAATGTATTTAAATAATTATAGGATTAAATAGTAGGTCAATTCTTCCTTCAAATATTACTTATCTCACTAAATACTCCCTGTGTTAAAGAATAATTAAAATTGTCATTGAAGAAATTTATTTCTTTTTACTTCTAAGAAGGCAATAACTTCATTTCATTGGACCACTCAGCCATTTAGGTGGTATAATTTAAATTTAATGAATTAAAAAAATATATAATGAACTTCAGTTTTAAAGACTCATTCGCAACAACTAACTATGGTTGCCTTTTGTTGTGACCTAATTCTTAGACCAAGTTTCTCACCAGTTTCGACCTATTTTCTAACCTGGTTTCACATTTGATGTGACCTAACTTTTTAATAACCTAGTTTTCTTTCCACTTCAAGTAATTAAGTTTCACACTTAACATGACATAATTTTTGGACCTAGTTTAACACTAGATGTGACCTAATTATTTGACCTAGTTTAACTCTTAATGTTACATAATTCTTTGACCTAGTTTCACACTTGATGTGACCTTATTCCTTTACCTAGTTTCAAACTTGATATGACCTTATTCTTTGACCTAGTTTCACACTTAATGTGACCTAATTCTTTGACCTAGTTTCACACTTTATGTGACCAAATTTGTTGACCTTATTTCACACTAGATATGACTTTAATGATTACATTTATATTCTATTCATTCATTGAAAATCAGATTTTACAACAAAATGAGATTCTTTGATAATGCCACTAGTGACTGTTTGCCTTCACATCAAATATATTCTTATTATTATAAAAAATTAAATTCCAAAAAAAATGGCACACATGAATTTACACAATCTGTGTAGAAATAGATAAAAAGTTGATTTTTTTAGAGATACAGAGCTGTATCATTTCATGTACCAACACATTCAATATATATACATGTACACAATATGCTGACAGACAAGAAGACTTAATATAAATCAAATCAACTGAGACTTTCGGAAAAACAGTTGCAGCACTTTGCTTAGTAAACAATAATGTTTCACTCATGATTTATTATTTTTTGGTAATAATTTATATACAATATGTACAAGTTTTTTTTTTATATCTATATACACACTATGTACACACATAGAAAAACACATAATATATGTATATAATGAGACATAACACACATATGTAAGTTTTGAAAATAGCACAGCGTAGGCCAGTAACTATAATATGAAAGGGACATAACTCTCCATAGAAAACCAAGAAGTCAAATTTATTATAAAATATCTTTTACTATGAAAAACTTAATTGAGAAAATGACAAATTAAAAAGAGTAATGAGTTAATGTAATATCGCCAGTGTTATAATCATCATTATAAATAACAAGTTACTCTAAAAAATATTGTCTAATATATATCCAAACTTGACAAGGGATACAATAACACATAGTGTCAAGTTACCTCCCTTTCATCAAGTCTGCACTGAAAATGCTAGAAACAGTACTGGTTGAAGAAAAACACCCAGTACCACCCCCCGATACTAGCACTACACAAGACTCCAAATGCTGGTCTGGCAACATATTTATAACCTTTTATATTAAAGAACCCCTTACACTCATACCTGTGGAAGTATTTAAATTTTTCTTAAATTATTTCACAATATTTGTGTGGCTTCAATTCTTGAAATGTTATTTTAAGGAATTCAGATATAAAAATGCTAAAATATTGCTATTGACAGCATACACTCTTATCAGACTGCTCAAGAAAACAAACTGGCCTAGAGTTACTATATACCCATGATACAGTGTGTACAAGCAAACTGGCCTGACTCTATACTCGTGATGTAGGGACATTAGTATTATTATAGATATTAAGATTTAAATAATTTCATTGTCTGTTTCGGTTTATGGCATACTAACACAATGCTGTCATACTTCTACGTATACTATAATTTTTAAGCATAAAGTTGAGCCAGTTCAAGTTTATGAAAGGAGCTTCACTGAGATCCAAAAGGCTAAAAACATTAATTTTAAATTCTAGCACAGATCAACTGGGGGTACTTAATACAGAAAAATATGCAAAAGAAAATTAAGAAAAAGACTCGGAAATAAACTGAAAATTGTTTGTTTTTGCTATTCTTAGCCGAACTTGAGTGATAAGCAGCAACGCCTTTAATTTTGGGTCATTTTTCACAATTAGAATAATTATTCTGGAAAAACGTTATGAGTGAATGATCCCGTCATGTCAAATAAACCTCAGTGGAGTCTTCAGAAAATGAGTTATATAGTTAAATTTTAGAATACAAATTAAAACTTTCAATATTATCAGATAAAGTAAGACAATGTTAATATGATTTTCAATTTCATCATGCATACATGTAAGTTAACTTGTGTAATTTATACATTCATATTTTGTTATTTATGTTTACACCTAACCAAAATATATATATGCTAGCAAGACATAACTGCTTTGCTATAGAAAAATGAACAATTACTTTATAACAATTAATCAAGTCTATATCAAAATAGAACAGTAGAACCCCATGAAAATAGCACTTTTACTTCGTATCTGGTGGCACACTCATAAAAAACAACACATTTATTTAAGGCAAATATGAATTTGACTGTATTGTTGAAATTCTACTTGATAATATTTTGTTCAAATGGCAAGACATTCTGTCTTTAATAAAATAAAAAAAAATAGAATACTAAAAATTAATAAATACAAAAAGGAAAATCTATATCAAGAAATATATATCAGGAACTATTGCCTGGCATTCATAAAAATAAATTTGCTGAATTATGATTTTTTTCAAGCGGAAAAAATAAAGATATTCTTTTTTTAAGTCTCATTGACAGAAATGACATGAAAACCAATCGAAGGGTAAAGATCCATGCAAGGTACATACATCTAAGACATTATCAATAATGTGCTATGAAAAATGGAAAGAGTAACACAATAGATGCTTTTCACATAGCATGTATTATCTCTCCTGGCTGCCATTTTCAGGGTTACTCTTAATATAAATCATACTTCAGAAAAGATAAAAAAAAATCTCACAATTCATCTTCATCTAAACTGATAAAAAAATCTTTTAGATATTTGTGCTATAACATATTTGTGCTATAACAACAGTTTAACCTATGTAAAAGAATTTGACAATTCACTTGAATCATTTGTTTATAATGTATTTTTATTCTTCAATTATTTTGTAAATTATATATAGTATACTGGGCCCCAAAATGGCTGCCATTTTTGACAGGAGAGGTTAAATATTGTAAAACCAGGAACTATAACAGACTAGCACCATTATGCTCAACCAAGCATAATAACACACATCTTTACAATGACTTAAATTTTGAGTAGTATGAATACATTCAAACAAAACTTACTTTCTCATATTAAAATCTCAAAATTACCTCCCTTTATATTGAGCATCAAGGCTTCATGTCTGGTATTACATGTTATATAATGAGATACACACATAGACAAACCTTTTAGGACTAATTTCATAAAATATACAAGTTCGTGCCACTCATAGAATGAACACTGTTTGGCAAATAAATTTAAAACAGAACATTCAATACAGGGGAAGCAAGGACCAAAGGTCACAATTTAATTAGCATTGAAACTACAAAATATGACTTACAAAATTAACAAAACATCGAGCTACAAATTCATAGATCAATAAAAGCAATGAATGAACTTCACATCATAGCTGAAGCTAAAACATTATGGATCAAAATTTAAGAAAGCATGGGAAAAAAGTAACAAAAACAAGTCAAGATGACAGTTCACAGCTTCAGAAGCAACAAACAGTTTAAAGGGACTCCACTGAGGTTTAAAAGCCTAAAAACATAACATTTGAATTTCTTACATAAATGAGCTGGGGCACTTTAACCAGAAATATATGCAAAGATTGTTAAAAATATACTTTGAAATAAATTGAAAATCATATTTTATGCCTTTTCCAGCCCAATTTGAGTGAAAAGCATTTAAACGCTTTTTATTTTTGGGTCATTTTTTTACAATTTGAATAATTATTCTGGAAAAACCAAGTGCTCGAATAATCTGAAATTTTGCACAAAAAATAATGGCCTAAACCTACATCAAATGGTGCATTTATCTGGAAAAAATATTTTCAGTCCCATAATGTCAAAAAACCTCTGTGGAGTCCCTTTAAAGCTTTAAGAACTTTAGTTTATATTAAAACTTATTAGACTATAAAATTTATGACAGTTCAGAGCTGAAAATTCTTATAACATCAGTTTATAGTTAAACTATTATAGTAATTTTTTTTAATAATCACAGTATAAAATATTTGCTTTGTGTTTCCAAGTAAACCATTTCACAACAACCACAATCACTGACATTTTACCAACTTTATATCCCTTCTTTCTATCTGTTGTGTTTTGTTTTGTACCTTTTGTACACTACTGACCTTTGACCTTTATATATACTGGTCATGCATAGCAAGAACTCGATCCTTTCCTCCCTTCCCACCTAGGCACCGCATCACCTTTATAAAGAATCATATAGCACAAGTAATCTATTTCTGTTTTTCAAGGCAGTCATTTAAGACATTTGATGCCGTTCTATTTCATCTTCATACACTGTTCTCCACATCCAGTGAATATCCAAGCCTATTTACACACACTAACTTTTTGTTTATCTACATACACACACACTAAATAGTCCGTTCACATGGCGGACGTACACAGTAATGTACAATAGCACACTCATTGTCTTGATCGTCACACACAAGTGTAGCAACTGTCTGTTTCCAGTAATCAAAACTAATTCTTGAACTCTGAAATTATAAACATTTAATACAATATCAATACCACTCCTTTTGACAAGAAATGAATAATTTCATTTTTTTTCCTTCTTCTTTTTTTTACACAACAATTTCAACACATTTTAGTTATATATTGGCATTTGATCTACCTTACAGGCTTTCCTGGATAGTATATCAGTAACAACCTATTACTCTGCTAGTGACAGACTAATGCCATATGATTTTTGTATCAGTGGTGTGAGACAAATGACCATAAGACTCAATGTCTGATATCAGTTGTCACACAGAAATTTACGCATTGCCAGAGGATCAAACCAACAACCTAAGGGATTACTAATCTGATGCTTTCCCTATTCAGCTATGTAGGTTGACAAAGCTGATGCTCTCTACATTTCATTAATCACTAAAGAAATATGAAACTTCTCTAAAACTGTAAATACATGTTAACATTTTTCTATTAAAAGTAAAATATAATCCTGACCTTTTCTAAGGCACTACAGTCCTTGTCTTTATGGAGATAGTGGTCTTGCCAGAAGAGTAATAGATCACGGAAGTTTGTCATGAATTGTACTGAACCATTCACCTCCAACATGCCTTCCTTCTCATCTTTTAATGCCTGTAGGTAACGTCCCAACTGATTCTTCCTGTTGGCAAACATAAGGAACACCAGGGTCGTGTTCAGACAACTTACATTTTCCTGAAAAATAAATAATACATCAGAGATCGAAAATTTAGCTTGTAGTTACGAGTAGAATTTAAGAAAACTCGATGTAGGACGAGCAGAAAACATACATTATTTAAACACATTATCTTCATGTAATACAAGATTCATTAGGCAGCTGGTTAAACTTTATCATATAAAAGCAATAAATGGAACTAATGGAAGTAAAAACCTTCTTCCTTTTTAAATAAGTGTGTAAGTGTATCACTACTATGTTTTAAAACTAGCCGCTGTTCTTTGATGGCCAATGCTATCAGTTAAGAGCAAGGTCAGCCTGCATATCTGTGCACGAAGCTCTATACTGTTGGCTCACTTATAGTGATATCACTTATAATGATGTACCTATTAAAATGACGCTGTTGTCACAGTTCCCGACTCGGTCCTTCTTTTTTACATATGTTTAAACTTCCCATGTGACAATATCAGATACTACAATATTTCAGAAATAAAGATGTTTTTTTCTGTCCCAAGGCAATCTATCACTTTTAAATGTGATATTTTGTACCTTTTAAGGTGTTAATGACCTGCCAGATATTCAGCTTTTGACTATATTTGACATATTTTACAAATATTACCTGTGTAAGATTCTGAACATCTATAATGGTGATCAACTTGTGGAGATAATCAAGTTGTCGACTGAAATCACCGATGTACATCAATAATCTACTATCCTTGCGTACATAATCTATAAATAAACAAACAAACTTTCATACTTTTCTTGTGTGTGTAAGGAATAAACAATGTAATTGAAGTTAAATAATATAATATAATATCTGCATGTTTGCTGCACACATATTTCTTTAAGTTCAGTGAGCAGTCATTGAATTTAAGATTTTGAATTTACTGGCCCGAATTCCAGTTTTTAATTTATTCTACTACATTTAACTAAATTTCTTGAAATCTACACTGGCCCGAACTAATTTTTACTGTCCATGGGCCACCGGGCCAGTGCTAAATTCGATGACTGAGTGAGTTGAGGCAATGCTGTATTGACCCCTCAATAATATGCAATAATGATTTTACCATATTTTCTCATTTGTGAGATGATTTTCTTTATCATTTTTTTTTAACCTTATATTTATAGGTTTATACAATACACTTTGCATTATTGTCTGATCACATTAAAAATATGACAGTTCAATCAAAGTACTCCTGATGACCATAAAATAAAGACCCTGATTTAGACTTATAAATGAGAAAATATGGTAAAATCAAATCTTGAAATAAAACAGTAATCAAATAGACTATATCTGGTGAATTCATAAAACTTTACATTATATGCATATTTGCTTGATTATTGATAATCTGTTAGCAATACATAAAATTTTAGACCTAAAATACATTATTGTACATCTAACAAACACATGAATGCAAATCCAACAATATGACTGTATGTGGATCTAACAAACACATATATTTCAACAATTTCATGGATATAAATCCAATAAATACATGAATGCTCATACATCAAACACATGAATGAATTTCATGCTAAAATGCATAAGTAGATCCAACAAACACATGAATGTAGATCCAACAAACACATGAATGTTGGTCCAACAAACACATGAATGTAGATCCAACAAACACATGAATGTTGGTCCAACAAACACATGAATGTAGATCTGACAAACACATGAATGTTGGTCCAACAAACACATGAATGTAGATACAACAAACACATGAATGTTGGTCCAACAAACAAATAATGATTATAAAATAACATGCAGTTTTGATTGAACTTTTTTTTAAGTACGAGCGTACAATGACTTGAACTGATAAGATATACAATACATAAAGAAGTTGTGTACATTTTTATTTCAATTTTTCTTCATTCTTTTCAAGTCCTGCTCACTAAATATTTCAACTTTTCTTAAAAAATAGTTTAAAACTTCATGTTACCTATATAACATTTACAAAAACAATCATAATAATGAAAAAAATAAACAAAACAAAACAATAATCAACAAAATGAGTTTCTTTTTAGCAAAATAGTTTTAGTGAAATGGTGAAAATGGTATTATTATACATTCTAACACGACCTGCATTTTTCGATATTGAATATAGAAGAACCGAAAGTGTGTGTTATTATGCAACAGAGTCACAGTTGACGTTCTATATTTAGATATGTGACACAATCATTATACATGTGACGTAACCACTAAAAGAATCCGACGCCCTGAAAATAAGTACGGAAACAAATCAGGCGCAATTTTGCTTAATAACAGGTACGGCTGCACTTATTTGTTGATGTCGTGTAAGAATCGAAATAATATATCCAAATCGGTGATTTTATTGCTTGATAACATCACTCTTTGTCGTTCGGATGCGCATCATTATATCACTCGGGCTACGCCCTCGTAATATAATTCCTCGCATTCGAACTCCAAACAGTGATGTTATTGAGCGATAAAATCACTGTTTGGGATATATAATTTATTAATTAGTGTCAACTATATATTATGTATCAATAATCATACTTCCTAAAACAAAGAGATTATTTTTTTCTTTGGGTTAATCAAATGTCAGAGATTTATTTTGCACCAATCAAATCTAGAAACAAGAGGGCCATGATGGCCCTGAGGTCGCTCACCTGTATATAGTCCCCCCAACCCCCCCCCCCCCCAATGTTGCAGGGTCAATTTAACCCAAGGCCTTTATTTGCACAAACTTGGTAGACACCCATAAGAAAATGTTTCATGCTAAACATCTAATCTCTAGCTCATTGGGCTTTTTAAAAGATTTTTTTAAGTTTTTACTATACACATATAGTTAAAAACAATGACACCCCTGGGGCCGGGCCAGTTTTGACCCAAGGGCTTTTATTTGAACAAACTTTGTAGACACTTACTAGAAGATGGTTCATGCTTAATATCTTAACTCTAGCTATTTGGTTTTTTTCAAAGAAGATTTTAAGTTTTTGCTATACACATATAAAGAAAATCAATGACCCCCGGGGCAGGGCCAATTTTGACCCCAGGGCTTTTATTTGAACAAACTTTGTAGACACTCACTAAAAGATGTTTCATGCTTAATATCTTAACTCTAGCTATTTGGGTTTTTTCAAAGAAGATTTTTTAAGTTTTTGCTATACACATATAAGGAAAATCAATGACCCCCTGGGCGGTGCCAATTTTGACCCCAGGGCTTTTATTTGAACAAACTTGGTAGACACCTATTAGAACATATTTGATGCTAAATATCTTAGCCATAGCTCTTTGAGTTCTTTAAAAGAAGATTTTTTAAGTTTTTACTATATGCATATAGGGAAAATCAATGACCCCCAGGGCGGGGCCAATTTTGACCCCAGGGCTTTTATTTGAACAAACTTGGTAGACACTTATTAGAACATGTTTCATGCTAAATATCTTAGCTCTAACTCTTTTGGTTCTTTTAAAGAAGATTTTTTAAAGTTTTTACTACAGTAAACTTCACTTATAGCGAACACGGTTATAGCGAACTTCCGGTTATAAGGAACAATTTTTTTCGGCCCAAATTTTGCCCTTCTTTATTTAATATAAAAATATACGGTTACAGCGAACACGGTTATAAGGAATTATCGCTTATAAGGAACTCATTTCTTAGTCCCAATTTATTTAAAAGTACAGAAAATTACACTTTTATAACGAACTCTAAAATATCGGCTTTCCGTAAATGGATCCCTCTTTTCAACTTTCGTTTTCACAATGGCACGGCCAGATGTACCGTTTATTGTTGTATGTACTTCTATCCAGCTGTAAAAATGAATTTTTATAGTAGTTCGTAATAGTTTTCTATTTAGGATATTTTAGCAACCAAAAAAACAAAACGGTTATTCCTTTTATTCTATTATTTCTTTTCTTAAATAGTTTTGCTCAAGTAAAATAATTATGATCATTTATAGTCGGTTTTCAACATAATCACACAAAGTACGATTGATTGAAATAAAAAGAAATCTTTATCTTTTATAAGTAAAAGTCACGCTTAAAATATAATAGAAGATATTCAATATAAAAGGAAGAAAAATCGAAAATCCTGTGTGTTCTTAATCATGGTAAGAAAACGAAAAGCACTGAGTTTAGAAACACAATAATGTATTTTATGAGAAATTGTGAAAGGGAGTAAAACTAAAACTGAAATAACAAAGGATTTTTAAATTTCAAAAAAGGACGCTCTCTGGTATTGTGTCTAAAAAGATATAAGTGACTAATTTTTCTAAAACAAATGCTTTTCAAAATGGAGGACGATGGTAAACAATAAGTTCGTTATATGCAAATCTGTTCGCTATAAAAACTCCTTATACAAGGAACGAATTCGCTATTATGCTTACAAGGAACTCCGGATATAAGGAACAGATTTCAAATGTCCCAATGAGTTCGTTATAAGCGGAGTTTACTGTATATGCATATAGGGAAAATCAATGACCCCCCCGGGGCGGGGCCAATTTTGACCCCAGGGCTTTTATTTGAACAAACTTGGTAGACATCCATTAGAACATGTTTCATGCTAAATATCTTAGCTCTAGCTCTTTGGGTTCTTTAAAAGAAGACTTTTTAAGTTTTAACTATATGCATATAGGGAAAATCAATGACCCCCTGGGGCGGGGCCAATTTTGCCCCCAGGGCTTTTATTTGAACAAACTTGGTAGACATCCATTAGAACATGTTTCATGCCAAATATCTTAGCTCTAGCTATTTGGGTTCTTTAAAAGAAGATTTTTTAAGTTTTTACTATATGCATATAGGGAAAATCAATGACCCCCCAGGGCGGGGCCAATTTTGACCCCAGGGGTTTTATTTGAACAAACTTGGTAGACACTCACTAGAAGATGTTTCATGCCAAATATCTAAGCTCTAGCTCTTATGGTTTTTTAAAAGAAGATATTTAAAGTTTTTTCTTTCGGTTGCCATGGCAACCAGAGTTCTGCATGGAATTAAATTCTTTGAACAATTTTTAAAGGTGACCACCAAAGGAACATTCCTGTGAAGTTTGGATGAAATTGGCCAAGTGGTTTATGAGGAGATATCATTTAAAGTAAAAGTTTACGGACGGACGCCGGACGGACGCCGGACGAAAAGCGATCACAAAAGCTCACCCTATCACTTTGTGACAGGTGAGCTAAAAAGGCCTTTTTCCCAACTGGGTTAGGGGGGGATGGTATTGAAATTTCCTTAAAACACCAAAAACATGTATTTTTGTATTTTGGGAAAAGGCCTCTTGGGAAAAAATCATCAGGCATTTTGGGAGATTTTAGTAAAACTCCTTATACATGATTTTCATTGTTTTTAACATGTCTGTGAACATGTAACATTTCAGGTCTTTAAAATAGCAAATCAAAACAGTTCAATATTTCTCAGAAGTTTAAAACAGAGTCATTTCTTTCTTTTTTTATTTTATTTTAGGGGAAGGGCTGCTGTTGGGAACCTTTTTTAAAATTGGAAAAGAAAAATAATGACTTTTTTGGATTGGGAATGAATGAAGGGTGAAAATTCGAAATTTTCAGATGGCTACTAAAATAAAATTTCCAAAATTACAAAGGTAACATTCAAGCACTAATCATAAGTTTTTTAACTCAATTTTTCTGACAATCATAACTGACAATATTGACTTAAATGTAGATGTGAACAATTACACAACACTGCTCCATTTATTGACTGTCACATTTTTTTAGCATTGCAATAATTAAATATATATAAATTGAATTAACTAAATATGGTAGAAATAAATAACAGTTGGATTCATACATATTTGTTACATGTAACTAAACTACACAACTTACTGGTTCCTGCACATATAAGAAATTATAAGAATAGAACATGATTCTATCATAAATTTATCAAATTGAAACTTGTGTAGATACACCAGACTTCCATTTTTTTTTTATTTTTTACTAAATTTAGTTTTAGATCACAATGTGAAAGACATATGGCAACTTTCCAGGCTTCAGCTATGGAGGAAAAACACCTCTGGTGATATCATTTTCATCTTTTTTTCAGGCTCTTATGGGCATCCCAAGTAAAACCACAAATCTTCAAAGCTACCTGAATAACTCCCTTTCACTGACATATTTTCATTTGTCATAAGTGGGAATTTAGCTAAGGTATAAAAACAAGTGTTTCAGACCCCTGGAGCTTCACTGCTCAGTGTCTTTGGCGAAGCTCAAACTTCACAATGATTATAATCAGAGAAAATCACAGTATCTATAAAATGGGTGCGTAAAAGAACAAATCTATATTTACCAGTGTTGTTTTTTGGCGGACCTAAAACCACATAGAAAAATATGTTTTGGTGAATTCAGTCATTATTTCAAGCATTTTTTATAACAACAATTTGCAGTTCAACTAATTTGACATGACAAACAGCCAAATATTTAAATACAACTAAAATGAGATTTTTTTTAAAAGCTGCATGTAGTATTTTTAAAACACTGCATGTAGTATTTTTAAAACACATGTATATTATCTTATAAAACTTTAAGCAATGATAATGTCATTATATGTATTAACAACACTAGTAATGGTCAAAGTCGCACCCTAATGATATTAACATATAAATTTTAGCAAAAATATCATGCTGTGTGAATAGGTTTACTACACAGAAAAACATGGCTGATGCTCAAGATGAGTTTTACAGTAAGAAAACTATAACCTTGAATATAATAATCAAGGGCTTAGAGCAAAACTGGTCCATCTTTCTAAAGTAATAGAATCAGATAGACCAGTTTTGCTCTAAACCCTCAATATATTCCCACTTATTTGTAGAGCTGTCATTGATTCAGAGTCAGGCATATTGACATCATGATATAATGATATCAGAACAAATATCGACAATATATCAATAATTGCTTATAATTGCTTGTCAATAATTCACTTTTATACATGTTTAAATAATTTTATTAAGATGCATTTTCTGTTCATTCAATTATGATGTGTCTATGTCTATAATAAATCCCCCACTGCAAGATTTTTTTCTGACTATTTTTTGTCATCACATGCTACCAAAATGTGTCTGTCACATAACAACAACACACTTGCAGACATGGACACCTGCTTCTGTATATGTATATATATTTTTTTTTTTTGGTGAATTTTCATAATTTCTATACATTTCTCGGTTAAAATTATCAAATTTTTCAAATGTGTTATCCATAAGAATTGACAGAATAAATTTAGAGCTGATATATCAAAAAAGTACTATCAATGACAGCTCTAATAATTTGTGCAGTCGGTAGACCTATGTAATTTTTCCCAAATAAATAACATCAACTTTGCATCAGCTATATTTTCTATACATTAAACCATTCCAGATCACTTTTTCCCCCCAAAATTACACTGCTTTATGACTACAGTATGGGGTTCTCCCTTTGTATACTAAAATATCAATACTCAATACTAACTTTAACAATAAAACACATTTCATACAATAGTTTCTCTCAATCATTTAAGAGGATTTTCAAATGTTTTTTTCCTTCTAATTATCAAATGAAAACCCTCTACAATTTATACAAAGAAATATCATATATAAATATTTTGAAAGAAGGAAATTTTTAAACATTTAAATTGAGAGATCTGAACTTCAAGAAAATCATTGAAATGAGCACTATTGTACTAATGTATAGGCTCAAATTAATTCTTCACTCCAATACATACATGTTTATTAATTGACATTGCTATTCCTATTAAAAATCAATTAAATTAAATTTAATTTAAATTAAACTTAATCTAAACTACATACAATAGTGGGAATACAGAAACGAAAGTCTCTAAACTGATTCAATTTCATAACCTTAAGGTGACAACAGACACTTTCCGTGGTACTCACATAAATGTCATTTAAACTAAGTTATTTTAGTAATAATTGTTATTTATTTAATCTTTATGCATTAAATATCGTTGATCATCATAAAAAATAACATATTTGAAAAAAATGCCTTTGTAAATGATTGATTTTGAATAAAAATCCTAAAATTTTAAATCGTCATATCAAAGTCATTTTTTATTTTTTTGTCATCAAACTTTTGGAAAATAACCATACTTATATTATCTAGGGAACCGTGTCTCAAATTTTTTCTATCTTTTCTCAAAAAAATATTACGTAACGTCAAACATTTTATGCGACTTTTTTCACCATACATATTACGTAATTAAAGATAATTAAGTCGCCTATTGAGCAAACAAAAATCCCTGACACGGTTCCCTCCGTAAATGAATTTCCTTTCATGTGCTTTAAACCGCATGTTAATTGCTTGATTATTAAAAAATATATGCCGATTCAAAGTTAGTCCGACCCGCATCAAACGAAGTGTCATAAATCGGCTGTTCTCTCTCGGACCCCTACGTTTCACGCTCAATAATTGCATAATACACAAATATCGCACCAGAGAGGGTCACAAGTTGCGGTAACATACTCTAACAACATTTTATGACCCAGTGACATCTGACCAATTAAAAAGCTGCTGATTAATATCAGTTTATAGCCGAAATTCCTTCAATTCTTAACGTGATTTACTGTCCGTCTGGTATCTGTCGCACATGTCACGTGACTATCGGTAAAATTTGAGGCACTCAGTGGGGGGAAATGGAACGCATTTGCGCACCGCTAGCGGGATATTTAATTGTTTCCTTTTTGAAGTTTATTATTATTATTATCATCAGCATTATTATTATTGTATTATACCAGTGTCACTCTGCCTGTGTATTCGTGTATGAAATTCCGTTAAAATATAAAATAAAATAACAAAAAACTAAGCTTCTGACAGTCTTTTAAAGTCCATGGTAGATGTACAAATAAGAACGGGATATTATATATTTTTTCCACCAAATTGATAATGCTTCACATATTTTAATAGAAATTAAAGGTATTACTCGATCATTATGATCTGGCTTTCTTGACTTCTATTATGAATATCATCTATGCACGGCATAGAGATCCAGTTTCTACCGGGATAGACAATAAATTTCATACTTTGTCCAAGATTTATTAGTACTGTGTCCGATTTACTGGCGAACAATTTATTTTCACTGAGAATATATTTTAATATCTTTTTTTTATTTAAAGAGAAATAATCATCCTTAGACAATCTAAAATGGTTTAGATATTTGTCAGGGACACCTTACCACAAGTCATATAGGCGTTCACATAAAAAAAATGTTGTCTGGTTTTGTTGTTGTTTTACTTGACATTGTTAGAAAACGAGGTTGAAAGTAAGCCCTTGAATCCGTACAAAAGTATATCAACTCAACGTAATATCTATCAGATTAACGGGACAGACAAATTATTTTCACACATTATGGATATTTTAGCAACTACATTTTTAATCAACCCCGTGGTCGTGCGATTTGCCGCTATGCTTAATTATTTATGTTTCATACATTATGTTACGTACATTGGCCGACAATTTCTTAATTTATAAAAAAGGCTAAATGTTGAGATATTCATAAAAGATGTACGTTAGTTGTACGATACATGTATTACGAGAAGTATGGACCAGTATGGACCTGTAATTCACGGATATATGGAACTACCGATTTCCCTCATTGATGCCTCAACAGGGGGCGGAGCGTTATCGATAATCGACAGGTTACGCGAATAGCAGATACAAATAGTATAGGTTCCGTTTTAAAACGTTTAAAAACACATTTTTTGGACTAACTGCTTCCAAAATTAAATCACGAATGTGTTCAGAAAAGGTTGATAAATCTACTTAGCAAAAAATCTCATTTTAGGTATTTTCAGTGATAATTGACTCCGTTGTCACCTTAATTATTCCGATATAAGTTGCATAGGTATCAATCACATAAGCCATTAACCCTTTCGCTGCCAGAGGGTTATTCATTTATTGATCACCTATTAGCCAGAAGGTTTTCTAAGAAATTACTATATTATTCATTAATATAATTATTATTATTTGTTATTAGTATTATAATAATTATATATGTTTCCAAATCTGCTAGCATATAATAATTACTGTCGATGACATAGTTATAGTTATCTATATATTAATGATATAGATTTGTGATATGCCGTCCCTATGGCAGTGAAAGGGTTAAAAATGGTTGTTCCCTTATTTTACTAAAAATCCACGATGAAGCTCTTGCCCTATTCAAACTGAATACGTCGCGGCACTAGTCTTGTAATCTTAGTCTTCACTGGCCAAGAGAAAGGTATAAAAACACCGTCGATAATCTAACACAGTCAAAGAATCCAAAATGCATTTTTTCGCGGATAACCAAATTTATTTCAGGAATTCCAATAGAAGCTCAAGTTCCAGTTGATAAGGTTTAATTTAGGAACTATGTTTCTTTATATAAACTTATTGAACCATGTACATGTATATCTTTGATAAATATAATTTAAAGTCAATATTAGGTTACACGCATGTACCAAAATAACTTTACTATTTTACATTCATTTATTTAAGTTTCATCTTTACATGTATACATATAAATATATACATGTATATAACGTAGAATACAAACATAAAATGCATGAAAAGCCATTCTAAACAGAATTACTAGAGACTGTTGACTTTTTGCTTTTTTTTTAAGTTCTTACTAACTTTTCAAACGAGTGAATGGAGTTTATAATGATTTATTTATCACAAGACCCAGCTTAATGATAACTGTGGGTATTTATCAATGAATCACTACCACACCCATAATCTTTCACAATGAAAATGTTGATTGGAATGCATTATGCAACAACCTGAAAAAAATGCTACTTCCCGAAAAAGGTGATACATGTATAAAGTGTAGATACTTTTCTTGACAGATCTATAACACACCAATTAAAATATTTTAAGCAGGATCTTCAGGAATATTTTGCTGCATTTATACCAATCACACTAATTGAATAGAAATAACTTTTATTAAGATACCTGTGAAGTTTAGTTATCAATAAACCTTCAACAACTAGATTGCATATTGTACTATCTGAAACTACAATCATTTAAAGAAAATCCTTAAGTTGTCTTTACCCTATTTTCGAAACTTCTGAGTATATTGAAAATTGTATCAATATTTGAAATATCTTTGTACAAAAAAAATAAAACATTTTTTTATTTTTTTAAAGGAGAACTATCTGCACCTAATTTTAGGGGAGGAAAGGGCGGTGTTGGGCGTCAGTATAGGGAGAGAATTATATATAATCTGTCAAGATTTCAAGATTTATTCAATACTGTCATGGTTCATAAGAACATGTGACATAAAATACAAGGTTGTGAACATGTTAAAACCGGAACACAGAAAAATATACATAAACACAGAAGAATGAGTGCTTAAAATAAACTAAAGATATGACTAGATTCCCATTAATAACCGAAAATTATGGTTCGTTAACAAAATTTTCTAGGAGACTAATGATACAATATTATACTTTAATATTATTTGCATGTTGTAATTATTTCTTTACAAAACAAACCAAGGTTTTTTTTTTATAATAATACGGTTTAATAAATTTAGTCTACTATTAACAAAATGTGAACAATAAAGGAGATAGTGAATTTTGTAACTCAGTTGGTTTGACTCACATAAAGTTTACATAAGTAAGTTTATCTCTATACAGTATATAGGAATCTACCTATCTTAATTGGCATTTTATTATTCATTCATCTAATCTTAAACAAATCCTAGGACATTTGCCAAGGAAGTATGTTAAAATATTCTTTGAATTTATATAAGCGGTAGTTTAAACATTTGTTACCTGTAGTTGTAGTGTCTTTGGGTTCATTTAGGAGAATCAATACTCTCTAGCGGAAGTTCTGGCGCCTATGACAACAACGACGCCTTTTGTGCTTTAATTTAGAAATTTTTATTTTATTTTTCCCCCATTTGCAAAACATAAACATGATTCTGCCAGATGAACCTAAAGCACAAGATGTGCCCAAAATTATTCAGGTTAATGGAATAATCTCTGATTATCTATATTCTGCGCGCAAATGTCTAAACTTTGACAACTGATTCGTACTCATTTATTTTCGAACTAAGCGAGTCTGCATATTTTAGTAGCTATTTTGTGTGATATTCTTTATGCTTTTTAAGTCGCTCAATGATTTTTCATGGACTGGAATATGACTTAAACATATTTTTAATCAAGTGTTAATTCATTTCATTAGTAAACAATAAATAATTTGTTAATGATATAGAGCAACTGCGACAGTTATCGGCACGTTAACGGTGAATTATATGCTGACTTAAAATTACGCATATTTAACATCTATTAATAGTTGTATTGAATAAACGGAGCCCCTATTGTTTGTTCTTGATGACGTAACCGGTGCTTCGTAATAATTTGATAATGTGAAATCGACTTGTAACTTTACACAACGTGGCACCAATTATCGGCAGTGTGTGACAGTTATCGGCACCCATTTAAACCGGGAAGGGAATAAAAATGCAATATTTAGTGGTCCTATACCTAGAACATATTCTAACAGGCCCCCCAATAGGACAGAGGCAATCAAATTGTACTAAGTAAATATCACACAAACACACTTTATACGGACACCACATTGTTAAGCGATGATGTAAGCAGTCAAGTTACGTAACAAGATAGACATACAGGAAGTAATTTTACCTTTTTTTAGCTGATATTTTTTATGCAAAACTGTTGAGTTCAATACTCGATCTTCCGGGAACAGTGCTGCGAAAATAAACATAGCAGATGATGCATTTATTTGAAATTCACCAATGATATTTTAAAAACATGCCGATAACTATAACATGCCGATAATACCCGCAGTTGCTCTAAATACATTTGATTTTGTACTAGCCTATACTTTATTTTCCTTTTTAAATTTGCAGCCAAGAAATCACAAAGCTAGAGTCAGTGTCTGGTAAGTGTTGAACAACATTGATCCAATTATAAATGTAAATTCAATATTAAAGATATACTATGCACATCCTTGAGTAAAATGTTTCAGTCATGGAAATTTATTGAATTCCATAAAATTCTTACTTAATATATCTAATTTGAATAAACTAATAGATACACTTATAATGTAATAGAAGCTGCTTCCCTTATACAGGTCAAGTAAATCTGGTACTTTCTTTAAAAAAACTGCCAGTAGCAATTATGAATTCATCAACAGTTTTTAATATCAATTTTGAGCATAGTTCATGTATATCTTTAGTTTACTTACTTTTCAAAGCTTGTGGAAAGATGCACATAAACTTTATACCATCTTATCTAAGCACAATTTGAAATGAAAAATAATGCTTAAGAAAATGATTTGAGAGTGTTACTAATATTAATACAGAGTATTACATGCATGTAAGTGTATAATAGGTCTAACTTGTTTTTTGTTGTTTTTTTTTTATTTTAGGGCTGATTTGACAGTTGATGACTTGGACAGAATCAATGAGTCACTGAATGCTGACCACATCAAAATGTAAGATTGATTGAAATAGTCCTTGACCTTTACACTTATCTGCTTACACATTGGAATTTTTTCAACATGTTTATTATAGTCTGACATTTTACTTACAATTTCACTGATACAAAATCAATCATCCATCATCCAATTTGCAAAACCAGTTCAATCACCCGTAATAAAAATGACAAAAGACATTAACACATAACACTGACATGGACACATAACACCATAATAGATTTGGTCTTGTCATTAAAGCTGCATTTATAAATATCCTCCAGATGAGCAAAAAATATTTCAATACAATCAAACCTGAGAAAAATGTACTAAGATTTTAGGAAAGGCATAAAAATTCAAAATTCTAGTAATACTTTATATGTTATGTGCGATTAATGACGGAATTTTTCAGTATTTATAACTACATTTCTACTGCATTACTAACACAGTAAGGGCTATTTTTGAATATTTTGACCTGTTTATAGTAATTTACATAGATTGTAAGTGCCATTGAAAATGTGTAAACTGATTCTTTTGGTAACTTTACAATATTATACTGTTAAATACATTTTGAAATTTTCATGAAAATTAGCACGGATCTTAGGTGTGCTGCTTTAAGATGAATTACCATAAACATTCCAAAAAGAGATCTTGGATTATTTAAACCTTATCTACACATGCTAATATGTACATGTAAACAATGAATTCAGTGACAATGAACTTAAATACTTACCAGTGAAAAAAGCAAAGAAGAGACAAGCATCACTGATGCACTTACATTTGTAAGTCACTTCAATATAATATAATATAAGATATGAATTTTTATTCATCTTAAGCTCTACACTCTCATCAACATAAACAGATCATTGCAAAACATACAACATAATATTGTTACAGTTTATAGAGTACAATAGTAATAACATTGGATATATGATGATACATTACTTCCTACAAACACAAGAACAGAAAGAATAAACATTCAAAAGTAAAAACAGGAAAAATTCAAGAAGATAAAATGATCTTGTTATAAATACTTGAATAATTCATAAGTCAGACTCAATCATATTGTTGACCGAAATTGGTTTTATGAAAAACATTGAGAAAATTTCATTTGAGAATAACCTTTTTGTTACACAAACTTAATAAATTCATATTTCTGTTCCTTTAATATAAATAATACACTGTACAAGTATATATTCATCATTATTTATGTGAGTAAACATTTTCCTAGTTTTTATACAATGTATACTCATACATGATATGGTAATAAAAGTGATGATGTCACAATAAAACTTAAAAATAACATATATATACAAGGTCTGACAATAAGCACAAAGAAAACGCAAATGATGAGCCACTGTCAGTTGTAGTGGTTTGGATACTGGACCACCAATCCAGAGACCCATGGTTCGAGTACTGGCTGTGGTGTGCCAATTTTTCATGTGGTTTTTCACCGTCTTCTTTATATTTATTATACATTGTATATACATGTACATTGTTTACTGTTTTCAGGGTACTTGCAGATATATTTCACCTTGACGACCACAAAACAAGTCTTAAAACTGGTATAGTGATGGATCTGTACTACTACACGCTCCAGTTTGCCAGGGAAAATAAATTTACCAAGGAGCAGACTTCTGCCTTTTTCTCCATTGTGAAGAAAACACATGAAATCTGCATAGGTATTACATGGCATTGTAATAACTCATTCAGTCTTATCAGCTTAAAATGAAACAAAGAAATTTTTTTTTTGATTATTTACAGTAATTTGTTGATCATGCAGTTTATAAATTTGGTATTAAAACAATGAAAAGTAAAAATAATGAAAAAAGTAACAGCTAAACTGTAGTGGTACATGGTTGGACTTAAACCAAGAACCTCGTCATATTTCCAAAGCACAAGTCTGTGATACCATAATGGATCAACCTACCTGTCTATAATAACTACAGAAAGTACCGGTATGTGACAGACTTTTCTTTGAATGCTAATGATCTTTATTTAGATATCATACCTATGTAAAAGGAAGGTGTTCTAAACTTAAACTTAATATTTGTAGAAAAAATGTTTAAAATACACATTTCTTTTTATTTTTTTTTCTGAATTTTAGAGACACCATTTGGAAATCTGGATGAGACATTCTCTTTCTTCAAAGAAATGGTTTTGTGCCATGCTGTTAATGTGAGTTCAAAATATGTGTACATTTTTTATCTGTTTTAAAATAATTAACATTTATAAATCTTGTTTGTGCAGTTTTTAAAGATTCTCATATTTAATTAACTAGACTGCTTCAGCTAAAAAAAATCATGATTTTTAGACTTAAATTAGGATTATTTTTGTAGGAAAGGAGAAATGTATAATTATTAAGGGTTTAATTGTAAATGAAACAGCAAAATAAAATAATTTTATATAAATAAGTACAGTTAGTACTTCTTCAGCTGAATCTACTATTATTTTTAGACTTAAATTAGGATTATTTCTGTTAAGTAAAGGAGAAATCTATAATTGTTATGGGTTAAATTGCAAATAAAATTGCAAAAAATATATTAACGTATTAATTAATAAGTATATAATTATATTTTCAGCGACCACCACACAGTATTGAACTGTTTACTGCGGATCAGGTTCGGTTAATCACAGAATATACGGTTAACTCCTACTTCAGACATTTCAAAATGTACAAATATGCCTTCACCCCTATGGTAAGTTATGGTCATACATGTATATATAAAAAGATACTTAAAGCTCTCTGCCTGTAAATGAATAAAAATAAGTAAAAATAAAGTCGAACAAAAAAAAATAACACAAAAAATTGATATAAAAATATTCATTTTGTAGATTTTATGCAAATGACGGCAGAATAAACTAATTTCATGTACATATCTCTACCCATTAACTGAAGGAGTAAAAGCTTTATTATATAATTAAATCTATTTATCAGAATTGTATTTAATTATTCCAGGTGCGACTTGATTTGTCAATCAACTATGTTGGTATTCCACCAACTCCTGTACCTTCAGAAGGTAAATCTATGTTATATCTTATTTTAATATGTCAAAAGTTATAAAAAAAACTTCCATGATTATTGTTTTGCCAACCAACATGTTATTTAAAATTCTTATATTTATTCCCCATAATTCACATTACAATATATAATATCTATTCCCCATAATTCACATTACAATATATAATATCTATTCCCCATAATTCACATTATAATATAAATATTTATTTCTCATAATTCACATTATAATATAAATATTTATTTCTCATAATTCACATTATAATATAAATATTTATTCCCAATAATTCACATTATAATATAAATATTTATTCCCAATAATTCACATTATAATATAAATATTTATTCCCTGTAATTCCCATTATAATATAAATATTTATTTCTTATAATTCACATTATAACATTAATATTTATTCCCCTTAACTCATATTATAATATAAATATTTATTTCTCATAATTCACATTATAATATAATTATATATTATTATATATAAATATTTATTCCCCATAATTCCCATTATTATATAAATATTTTTCCCCATAATTCACATTATAATATGAATATTTATTTCTCATAATTCACATTATAATTTAATTATATATAAATATTTATTCCCAATAATTCACATTATAATGTAAATATTTATTTCTCATAATTCACATTATAATATAAATATTTATTTCTCATTCAGGTTATATTATAAATATTTATTTCTCATAATTCACATTATATTATAAATATTTATTTCTCATAATTCACATTATAATATAAATATTTATTCCTCATAATTCACATAATAATATAAATATTTATTCCTAATAATTCACATTATAATATAAATATTTATTCGTCATAATTCACATGATAATCTGTGCAATCTATTCAGATAATAGATAGATGTTTTTACCTGTCTAAATGACTGATCACTTATAAGTCGGGGGTCTTAATTTTTCTTTGACTCTCAGATACATGTTCTGTTTGACCATTTTAATTAAGGGAAAATTGTCCAATTAACAAGCAAACAAGGTACATTGTATGTTATATAACATATGTTATCTACAATACTTAAAGTTTTATTCTACTAGAAACTGATACCAGGGTTCTAGACGATAAGTTACTAGCTAGTCCAATGGTAACATTACACGAGAGTCCTCTTGAAAACACTGCAGAGGATGATATTTGGGATGTTGGTAAATAATTGCACAGCAGAATTTGCAAAAACAAAAAGTTAATGAATTAACTGCAGTGTGTCATGAATAAGTGAATTTGCATTTTCCTGTTTTCTGCTCATATTTTCTATTTTTCTGATCTTTGATGTTTTGGTTAAGGGGCAAAAGAAATTTTGTGGTAGCAAAGGAGTTATCAATTCTGACTAAATGAAATCACTTGCTCTTAATTTATGGTTTGTCTTAAACTTTCTATGAACATTAATTTGTTCATGTGAACAAGCTATCCGAACTAGCATATTGAAGGTTGTGTTATTAGCCAAGTGCTAGTAAGCATCTGAAAACACACATGCACATACACAGGGGGCATTATAGTGGTACTGAATTTGGGTGTCCACGATCAGGCATCAGTGGTGTTGAATTTTGTTGCTGACTTTATTCTTATTTTAGGAGACGAATCACTTTTATGCATATTTTGGGTGTGACTGGGTTACATTTTTGTATCACCCATTATGTGTTTCTGTTAGATTGCACTGGATGAGTAAAAGCTTTGTTTGTTTGTTTGTTTTGGGTTTTACGTCACATCGACACAGTGTAGGTCATATCGCGACGTTCCAGCTTTACTGGTGGAGGAAGACCTCAGGTGCCCTTCCGTGCATTATTTCAGGCACGAACGGGCACCTGAGTAGAACCACCGACGTTCCGTAAGCTAGCTGGATAGCTTCCTCACATGAAAGAATCCAAAGCCCCTGTCGGGATTCGAACCCACAGCGGTGAGGGGCAAGTGATTCGAAGTCAACGACCTTAACCACTCGGCCACGGACGCCCCATGAGTAAAAGCACCAGGGTTTTAGATGTATATACAACAAGCAAATCTTATGTACATGTATTTTCATACTGTCATATTACTATCTTGTAGAAACTAAGGAAAGTGGTAAACATATCACATGGAATTTACCATCTGACAGCACCCTCAGGGTAGGCCGTTTACCAGGGGGAGGGGGAGTGTCAGGTTTGTCCGGTTTACAAATGACCGGTTACTTTAAAATCCTTTACTTTATACATTTGCATACTGAGTTTAAATAAGAGTTGCAAGGATTCAGAGGCTTTTAACAACACATTAAACAATCCTTAAATACTTGTAAAAATGGTAAACACATTGACATTATATTTTGAAATGTATAAATTCAGGAGCATTATACCTATTTGATCTAGGTCCATGATAATAATAATTTACTTAAACTACATATTTACAAGACCTCTTCAGTTTATTATTAAATATTGCATTACTCACCTGCATAGTCAAGATAATTTTACTTTGCTACATAGTCAAAGAAAACACATTATGAAAAGGCCCGCAGGTTATACTAAATATATTGAACTAATATTAAATCTGTACTAGATGATAATGAAATATTTTCAACATATTTCTCCAGCTGATGAAGGAGAAGGGGAACCAGCTGTTGAAGAACCTCAAGTTGAAGAGGAACCAGCCGAACCAGAGAAAACACCCGAACCAGGTAAAAATTTTAGATAAATAATCTTGATTTATATCAAATAATTCATTTCTTTTGGCTCAAAATTAATATATTTGGCTAATACTCCATGGAAATTGCATGAAAGTTAATTATCACCAGTTTGTGCTTCAAAATTAACCCTTTAAGGGCATGGCTGGTGACATGTCCTGGGTCAGTACTCAACAGCAAAAGCTGCATTTAGTGCCTGAAAGGGCGGATGGACCAATATCATGTATAGACTACCTAATGATACTAAATGTTTCATCATTCATCATTAGGTCTAAGTTATAGACCAATTACAGTAAATTCTATAAATTGTATTTCACTGTGGATTAACTTAGAGATCGACCAAGTCTTTGTTAGTTTGTAATGATAAAACAGACAAGTGCCTGGCCATAATGATGGAGCATAGAGTCAGAACAGATGCACATCTGTCTAGACTTACCAAATTTTATACTGCTGCCTAATTATAAATATTAGTTCATGTACAGTCAACTTTAGTAATCTTGATATCAATTTTTTGAATTTTTCGAATAAATTTTCAAAGTCCTGAATATTTCCCTTCTTTATCTCTATAAAATATTTTTGTTTATCTCGACTTTTGTACCTCAATTTTTTCAGTATCACAAAGTGAAATTTTTTAGTCCCATCACTTATTTTTACACTATAAATCTTTTGTTTATTACAACTTAAAATTTTTCGTATTATGATAGTGAAATCTCTGAAAACAAAGAGTGTGCTGTTTCAATAAGTTCATTATACTAATTCAGGATGGTTATATAAGGGGTCAAATCTAAATGATTACATTTGACTGACTTTAAATTTACATCTATAGCCAGTAGAGCTATTCAAGTACCTACATTTACTTTATTTTTCAGAATCAGCAGCAAGAAAGGAGCTTCGGGGAATGATTCAGACATATTTAACCGAAGAGATTAAAAAGATGAAATTATCCATGGACGATCAGTTAAAAACAACAGAAGAGTTATTAAGCAAAAAGTTAGATGTTGCTGAAGGGGGAGGGGCCAAGAAAGGAGGCCGAAATTCTGCAAAAGGAGGCAAAAAGAAATAAATGTAGAATATCATGTTAAACAAACTTTTTAATCTTTTTACCCAGTTGTTATTGTGATATGTAATGCAAGTTATTTTGTAAAGAATATTCATATTTTGAACTCTACTTTGTTTCCATGATGGTAATAAAAATTAATACTATTCATAGAGTTAATTTCTTTTAGATAAATAGGGAGTATTACACATTTGAGCCGTGTCATGACAAAACAACATAGTGGGTTTGCGACCAGCATGGATCCAGACCAGCCTGCGCATCCGCACAGTATGATCAGGATCCATGCTGTTCGCTTACCAACCCTATTTTAAGTAGAGAAACTGATAGCGAACAGCATGGATCCTGATCTGGGTCCATGCTGGTCGCAAACACACTATGTTGGTTTTGTCGTGACGCGGCTCATTTTTAGTCACAGTATAAGCAGGTCTGATCGATTGTCAACATAGTGCTTGAGTTAATTGTATTTTTTTTTTTGCTTTTCCCTGGGAATGCAGTTTCTTAATGCCACAGTGACAGTAAAAACACCATACTGTTAGGATTGCACTATTGTCCAACAGCTTACCATTGTCAAGACGTTCTATAAATGGTTATCAAAAGTGTCAATTTACAACGTATTGAATAAAATTGTGACATAAAGTTGGGCAAAAAAAGAAAGGGCTGTAACTACTTTTATGCCATTCTAGTCTATAAATCTTTCTCCCTACAGCCCACGGGGGAACAGTGTACTAGTATAAGATTTAATATCAATGATACTGCAGCAATCAGATGAGCTAAATATCACAAAAAGTATAGGCTTATCTAATACGAGCTTAAATTCTAACATCATGTCACTGTGGTTCACTATTGCCACTTTGTCAACAGATAGTCTTCATTTCTGAGTCCATTTTATAACAAGTAAAATAGAATTTCTTATCAAATCTACTATGAGGGCAGTCTCACAATTTTGTCAAAATCAGAAAAAGTAACTTTTTTGTACAAACTAATAACACCAATCAAGTATCCATCAAATTGATAAATAGGTTCCAGAAATACTAAACAAGAGCACCGCTAGGCAGAGCATTATATGCCCGAAAGTGATTTTTTTTAGTAAAGATAAAGCATTTGTAAGACATGGGAATTAAATAAAGTATTACCTCCTTGAAATAACAATCCTCCTTTAAAGTTTCAATATTGTGGTCCAAATGGAACTTAAGTTATGCCCCAGAAACGGTTTTCAATTCTAAGGTAATAGTGACCTTGACCTTGTGACCCCAAAATCAATAGGGGTCTTCTACCCAATATGAACAATCATCCTATGAAGTTTGAATATTGTGGGCTAAATGGAACTTAAGTTATGCTCAAGAAACTGTTTTCAATTTCTAAGTAATAGTGACCTTGACCTTTGACCTTGTGACCCCATAATCAATAGGGGTCTTCTACCCAATATGGACAATCATCCCATGAAATTTGAACACTGTGGGCCAAATAGAACTTAAGTTATGCTCCGGAAACTGTTTTTAGTTTTAAGTTAATAGTGGCCTTGACCTTTGACCTTGTGACCCCAAAATCAATAGGGGTCTTCTACCCAATATGGACAATCATCCTATGAAGTTTGAACACTGTGGGCCAAATGGAACTAAAGTTATGCTCCGGAAACTGTTTTCAGTTCTAAGGTCATAGTGACCTTGACCTTATGACCCCAAAATCAATAGGGGTCTTCAACCCAATATGGACAATCATCCTATGAAGTTTGAAGATTGTGGGCCAAATGGAACTTAAGTTATGCTCCGGAAACCAAATTGCTAACGGACAGACGGACGGACGCCAGGGGGTATAACATAATATGTCCGAAATTCTTTCGGGCATATAAAAATGCAATTTTTTTGGGAAAAAAAAAAGAGTCAAACGGGGAGATAACTATGTGAAATAAAGGAGTTATGTAATATGATGTGTATCAAAACATGTAAAATGTAAATGGCTACCTTTAGGGCTTCAGAAGTACAAAAAAAAATTACAATGTATTTCTTGCTATAGCAACCCAAAATAACTAATTTGCATAATCTTTATATTGCTGTCAATCTTGTGCAGTGTTCAAAGTACTTTTTGAACTTTCAGTTTTTGCCGACAGATCGAGAAATTCAACATTTTGTCATCCCTGGTGTAGCGACTGCTTTTAAATGCATACAAGTTATTTTTATTTACTAGATATACGGTACCTTACTGTTACTAGATAAACCTTACTGTACCATTCTAAATGGTGTGTACTGGATGTTTTCTGCTTTGACTTTGGAGATTACCATTACAAGGTATCGATGATATGAATATCAAATAATAATTATGCGAATCAATTCAAAAGTACAAAAATGCAGGCCAGCTCTAACGGCAGGTCAATATTCAGTTAAACAGAAACTAAGATTAAAATTAAATAACATTTTATTTCAATCTTAACAGCTACATGAATAATAAACAGAAACACAACATTAATCTCGGGACAAAAGTTATTACTATCAATAAAAATACCAGTAATATTCCAACCTTAATTCTTCCATAAAATCTGCACAAACAGCTTCCTCGCATGAAAGAATCAAAAGTCCGTCGACTTTCGAACCCACAGCAGCAAGAGGCCATAGGTTTGAATTCAACCACCTTAACCACTAGGCCACAAATAACTAGAAATGTGTCCATAGGACACGGATGCCCCCACACACCACTGTTTTGTTAATCTTATGACTCTAGGTCAAATATTTTTTGGACTACATGTGCCACAAGTTGAAAACTAAAAATCAAAAAAGGGCCATAATTCTGTTAAATTTGGTCGCAGCGAAAATTCCTTCCTTTACTACCATCTACACATTAAGGTTGTTCATCCCTGGAAGTTTAAGCAAAATCTGCCATCCAGTTTAAGAGGAGTTGCTTTCACAAAATTTCTACATAGTATATAGTGAAAAAAATCAACAAAGGGCCATAATTCTGTTAAATTTGGTCGCAGCAAAAATTCCTTCCTTTACTACAATCTACACATTAAGGTTGTTCATCCCTGGAAGTTTAAGCAAAATCTGCCATCCGGTTTAAGAGGAGTTGCATTCACAAGATTTCAGGACGTACGGATGGACGGAAGGACAGACAAGTGCAAGGCTATTATGCTCCCAATTTGTGGGGGCATAAAAAGTATCATTTGGAAAGGCTTTAATTTAGTAAAACAACAGTAAAATGCTCATATCAATAAAATTAATGTATACTCGAGTTTCTTTAAGTTTACATACACAAAATTAATATCACGATTTGTTTACCATTGATCTATTAATATATGCCGTAAATCTGTAATTTGACACAAATAATGGAAAATTTTCTAATTCTTTATTTTAACAACTTTTGTTCACAACTATAAATTAGTTTAAGAGATAATTGCTCAAATTTGTACAACTTTTAAGTCCAAAATAGAAAGATTATTTGGCTACAATAGTAAAATTATACTTGTACACTTATAGCATTGTTTCAATCAACATTTTAGAAAAATATACATCTTAGAAATTTTATAAATAATGTACAATATTTTTTTATTTTTTACAGACTCATGAAAATTTATACAGAATTTCATCGAGTTATTCTATTAAATGTATAAAATATGCCTACATTCAAACAACACTCAACTAACATATTTTCATAATAAATTTAACATTCATAGCAATGAATAATTTTTTGTACAATATAAAGGTATTTCATTAGATAAAAGCCAACAAAAAAAGAATGATGTCTTACATTCAGAGATGTCATGATGTAACAATAAACAACAGTTAAGTGAATAAAAATGCAATTTAAATTACACAACAAAAGTACACAAATGCCTCCACATTCCACTTTTTGTTAGTCTTTAGACAGACAGCAAGACTAATGGACAAGGGCAAATCTGTGTGCTCCCCTTTTCCCCCAAAAGCAAAGGGAGCATAAAAGTCTATATGATCCCATCTCGAGAAAATAAATTCTGAATATCATGATAGTTTTTGTCTTTTGGCTGGATTTACTACGGAACTGTCTGTGTTTTCCATGGAACTGCCCGAGATCACGTCTGTCTGGACATTTTGCTCTTGTTTATAATCATCAACAATATCTCTTATTCCATCTTTCTACAATATAAAGAAATCAGAGAAATAAGCAAAAAAAAAAAAAAAAGAAAAAGAAAAAAAAAACTATCAAAATTAGACTTGGGTTGGTATAGTGATAATTGCTAAGTTAAATAATTGAGTTTTCTGTGCATTCCTTATTACTGGTAAAGTTAATTTTATTCTTATTATAAAACCAAACCAACTGCATCCAGTATTTTTATCATGACACTGTATACATACTGTGTTTACCTATAGTGTGTAAAGTTTTAAAACTAACATATCTTTCTCTATGTGTACTCAAAAGATGTTTATTTTGCATTTAAAAAAGAGATTGCATAGCAATTATCAGTATTTTCAAATATCATATTTGAGCATATATTATATCTTTAATAGTTGCAATACCGTTACATCCCTTTAGTGCAGTAACAGGTTAACTCCTATTAAATTATAAGAAGTTAACCAGTTACAGCACTAAGCTGGTGATATAAGTTTGAAGTTTTGTACAGAAATATACATACTGTAATCTGGAATGGAATCTTTGCCTGCGGTTGTGATGGAGATTTGTACAACCAGGCCAATCTTGTGTCTCGAACAAACTCCAATATTACCCTCGTGGTACAAGCATGGCCCCAACTCTCCCCTAAACAAGGTACTAAGTGTGAACCTTTATCAGTTCCCTGGTGAACCCTTGTCGTCATCTGATTGGTAACAACAACCTTACAATGTAACAAACAAATATGGATATACATGACTGTGTAAATATAGACAAAAACTATCGGCACAAAAGTTATTCTAATTGAAAAATAAAAAATTAATAAATATGATCTTTTTTCTTTTCTTTGTTTATACAAATTTATTTTAGTTTGATTGTGTTGGAAGCTATAAGCTTATTGAAACACTCTTGAATCTGTTCCTGGAACTAACCAGTACTTATCAATGAATGTAAAGTTTCTTGCTCATGGAAACAACGGCTTGCTCCTGACAGGGTTTGAACCCATGTGGTCAGCAATCCTTAGATTACTAGTGCTACATGTTAACCACTCGGCCATGCTGGGCCACTTTTCTTTTCAATTTCTTAAACCTGCAATATTTTATTATCCTTACAACCAGCAACAGTTACGCTTGAAACAGGTTTATTTTTCATTCAATACAGTATATAATAAGTTCAGGTGTCTAGGGTTTAAGCCCTAATTGGGTTACAATCACTTTTCTCTCTCATTTTTTATCATTTTCATTAATTACAACAACATACTGTTTTTGCTGGACCACAAATTTAACAGGGCTGTGAAAATATACAGCCTGATCGAGACTCAAAACCAGGGCCCTTGAGATACCATTCCACAGTTCTACCATCTGTGATTACTGGCCAATATACATATTATCTACTCTACTGGTGATTAATGTACTATGTACACTTGCAGTAAAAAGAAATTTTGTGTTTCAATAATATTGCCTACTTTATTAAATTTGATAATTTTTCAATTTGTTAATTTTTCAAAATGTCTATATCAATGTTAATATATAAATCGACAGTTAGCTGTAAAATAAATTGACTTACTGCTATCTTGTATTCTCTAGCCGTTCTGATCAAACACTGAGCAAGGTTGGTCAGGACTCGTGTTCTCAAGGACAAGTCCTCAAAGTCGTGCCGAAAATGAAACGCAACGCTGTCAATCACCACAAGTTTTATCTGTAAGTTACAAAGTAATAATATATCAAGCTTATATAAAACAATTTTAGAAGGATTTCTGATCAGCATCTATCATAAATTTTTTATATCAATCAAAAGCAAGAGGTAGTTGTATTTCAGGTTACTCCCCCTTTGTTAAGGTCACATGATTTCTTCTAATTAGCAATTAGTATGAGAAAAACCTCAGAGAACACCCCTGGCAAATGAGTAGAACCACAAATGTGTAGAGCCACAAATGAGTAGAACCACAAATGTGTAGAGCCACAAATGAGTAGAACCACAAATATTCATAAATGAGTAGAACCACAAATGAGTAAAACTACAAATGAGTAAACCACAAGAGTAGAGTAGAACCGCAAATGAGTAGAATCACAGATGAGTTTCATCACAAATAAGAAGAACCACAAATGAGTAGAACCACAAATGAGTAGAACTACAAAAAACTGCAAATTTTCCATGACTTATCTTAATATTTTCTTCATGTGACAGAATTTCTGTGTCCATGGTAGGCTTCAAACCCTAAACAGTGGTGGGTCAAGTATTTCATTCACACCAAAATGGTTCCATCACAGAAGCAAAGTAAATGAATAAATAAAAGCTAAATACATGTACATATATTGGTTTAAACTTACATTTTTGTTCTGTTGCAACAACTCTGGCAGTAGGTTAACTACAGAAAGAAGTTCACTGCTGTCATGGCAGCGGTATATATGGATACCTCCTAGAAATTTTTCTACAGTCATTTTCTGTACAGTGGCCTGTACATCTGAAATATACATGTTGATCAAAACAATTTAAAATGTGTAAGGCTAAATCTGATAAAGTATTTTATACAAATTTGAAATTAAAAACAGTTAAATTACATTGTTTTTAAAATCTTGTGGTCTTTTCTTGAACAAAATTGCAGCACTGAGGGTCTATGTTATTTGATATAATAATTATGTAAACTGTGTAAGTAAAAAGAATATTAAAACGTGTCGGGGAACAAAATATTCTGATGCTATTTTTCGTACATTTTGCAATGATTTCACACATGCTCCACTAGATTTCAATTGAATATACTGGCAAATTTCTTTCTGGGTATTCTGTAGTACTCATTTCAATTGCAATATTAACAGTTGTATCATAGTTTGGAGACCTTTCTGTTGAAAATGTGTCAGGGTTAAATCGTATACATATACATGCACAGTGCGTTAACTGGAGTGCGGGTATTAGTTACCCGCACTCCAGAGCATGCCCATTGATTGGCTCATTTTTGCTGGGGTTTACATATTGTGACGGCAGAGAAAGTGAAAGCGACAGAAATATCATATTCAGATGTTCGTTCATTGGTTCATTTTTGCCGGGGTTTCATATTGTGACAACAGGGAACGTGTTTTTATGTTTGACTATGATACAAAAGAGAAAGAACACCAAAACACTCGGTAATCTGATTAATACTCGGGGGCTACGCCCCCTCGTACAAATCAGATAACCTCGTGTTTCGGTGCTCTTTCTATTACTAATTCTATAATCAACACAATACAGCTTTATATACTTTGTAAAGAAAAGTAATGCTACATAAACCATCTTTTAACAATGAGCTCAATAATTAAAAAAAAAAACAACAACTGCAGAGAACAAAATTTTGTACCAGTTTTGACGTGAAAATAGCATATCTGGAAGGAAAACAAGAATTACTGGGAGCATTTTATGGACAAGACATGCACACGGGTAGAATGTCGAGCCGGGGCTCGTCATAATTCAAACCCGATACACAGACAGACGGACATACACCAAACTATACGCCAAAAGTGATGACTAAGTCGAGCTCACTGCAAGCGGGCTCACAAAAAAACTAAGAGCCCATTAAAAAAAAGAGTATATAGCAAGAAAATTTATAACACTGGAGCACCTGTATCTATGTATATCTACATGTATATAAAATATAATGTATCATTATTAATAAACCTTTGTCATTTTCTCCACTTGCGATGAGATGACAATGTCTGACAGTGGCTTCAACAAGGTCTGTAACTCTGTCATTGATTACTCCGCCCTTTGTGTCTATATATAGAACCTCTCCTTCCAGACCGCCAAATAAAGCCGGGATCTGCACATCACACGATAACTGTAAGCTAAAACATTTACAAATTCAAGACAAGTCTGGAAAAGCAGAATTTATTTATTTAACGACAATGACCAAGATACATTGATTTTGACTGGCACAGGTTTTTCTGATCTTTTATATTTAATGAAAAACATAATCATTATCATATTTTTTATAAATACATATACTTGAATTTATGCAATTTGGTATGTTAAGTATGCTGAAGAATAAGTGTCAGTGCCTAGTATAAGCTTAAATAAGTGGGTATAATGAAGTTGATTGTATAACCAGGTCATTTTTTCCCTTCTATAGCATAGAGCCGTTTAAAGGCTGCTTCCCTTTAAGGAAATTCTTTAAAATTCTATTTTCTTCATTTTTTTTCCATTTTTGCAAAATATGCTTTTTTTCCAAAATATAAGGCAAGGGCCTCTTCCCTACCTGTGAAAATAGCCCTGACTGAAAATGAGTATAAAACACAAAGAGGTAAATTATTAGTATGCAGTATTTTATCACATTATAACATTGTCAGTTACTGGTATTGTAAATGTATTATGGGCTGGTGGCCTTCCTATACAAAATAAAATGTTGTTATTGTTATTTTTACCACCGTATTTTTACTGCGTTACTAATGCAGTAATGGCTGTTTTTGCATATGTTGACCACTTTTGGTAATTTTCTTGGATTGCAATAATATTATGTAAATTACTTTTTTTGTTCACCTAACAATATTTTACTTTCAAATACATTTCTAAAACTTTCATAAAAATTAACATGAATCTGAAGGTGTATCTAAAAACATCCTTACCACAGCTGTGTTTTACCAACACCAGGAACGCCACATATCTCTGTTAACATGCCACATTGTATACCACCACCCAGTGCTGTATCAAGTTTCTCTGAGAACGTCATAATACCAGCAGTCGAGTTTTCTCTGTTGAAGATTTGCAGGGCAGTTCTTGGTTTGGGTATACATGATTTACAGTCTTTAGCCAATTGTATAATATCTCTACAGTCTGGAACATTTAATCCTGTATCTGAAAATTAAACATGGTTGATATTAGGTTTTAACTCTGCTTTAGATCTACTATTATTAATTTAGACCGTCCTATTATTATTAATATAGTCTTAGACCCGTGTGAAATGTGATCCAGAGATCTTAGGACTAATGAATGTCAAAACTGTATTGTCATGGTCTGAATAGCAAAAAACTATGTAATTGTTATAGCCCTATTGTCACAGCCTAATATCTTTACATGTATAAAATAAGTGTTTTTCATTAATTCTAAAGTGCAGTCTTTAAAATAGAGGAACAGTAGCACATAAGACTGAAGGAGAGGATTAGCCTAGTTGTTAAGGTTTCTGTCTCTAAGCCAAAGATTTTTGGGGTTTGAACACTACTCTGGGTGATTATGGCACCAAAACTACTTAGTTTCAGGAATCAAGACTGGGCCATCCTTAAAAAAATGTTTGTTTGCAGTAACCCGACCCAGAATTTTCAAGGTGGGTAGGTTGGTCGATTTTTTTTTTTTTATTAAACTGTAACTCCCAAATAAACATGGAATTTCAAAATGCTGGACAATAAATGCTTTGATAATCTGGTAACAATTAATAAATTGATAACTGAATTCTAATTTAATAAGACCTACATTTTGTTTCTTCTAATAACCTTTAAAAGAACGAAAACAAAGCACAAGGCATAATTTTCTGATTAAAAAAAAAAAGATTTTTTATCCAGACCATGAAAAAAATTTTGAGTAGGGGAAAATTTTGTGAGTCGGTCGCGTTACTGCAAACAAACATTTTTTTAAGGATGGCCCTGGTCAAAATTTTTGTTAAGATTTCATCCTTGTTGAACTTATAAAAAGAACATTTATTAAACTAATACTGTAGCAGCCATCTTTATCAGGTTGAACTTTTGTATCAAGAAAAAAAAATCACCTTTACTTAAAATTTCTGCATCTACACTTATCAAATCTTGTACAGTTCTAAATCCAGCCACATGCAGTCTATTCTTGTATAAAGGAGCTAATGGTAAAGTGGACAGTTCTCTCTTTTCCATTTAAACATCTCTCTCTAAAATATAGAAAGCTTGCCATGATGTAAGGTTGTTCACTAAAATGGATAATATATGTGTCAGCAGCTGACATAAAGCAACTCTGAGTCAGTCAAGATTTTAAATAATACTCAAAGGTCAGACCTGGTCAGGCTGCATCTTTTTCTCACCTTACATATTGTGGATTGTGCAAAATACGTGTAAATATCAGTAATTAGAAAATATTAGACTTATACAGGATTAACCTTTTTTTTTAATTATTTCTTTAACAGTTTAAAGTTACTAACATATTTGTTCAGTCATGTTTCTGGATATTTTAAACAAAATTAATAATAAATATATAAGAAGCTAAATATGTAATGCTGTTTTAAAACATGACAGATATCTAACTCAACTTGGTCATAATAAAACGAGATAAGCAGTTTTATCAAACCACAGGACCCCGAAATTCTATCCAAAACAGAAAAATAACGATTTAAAAAAAATCCCCTATATATACTATAAAAAGTTTTTTTATAGTATATATAGGGGATTTTTTTTTAAATCGTTATTTTTCTGTTTTGGATAGAATTTCGGGGTCCTGTGATCAAACTGACAGCCAATCATCAATAAGTAAACTGTGTTTAAATCATAATTCAATGTTTTTATTAAAAAACACATCAATGAATTTTTGTAACATTACATTCAGACCTAGCCCAACAAATTGTGCACTTAAGGGCTTTTTATAACATAGACGATGGTCGCCCAGACATCTATGAAATATCATAAAATAAAATCGGTCTGTCTTGCAGTCGAAATATTGAGACTAATTCAGACCATAATCAGAGCAATTTTAGAATCAGAAAATGTCCGCAGCAAAAATCATCTGTTATTATATAACCTTATCTTAACACTCTAAACTTAACCAATAACACTAACCCTATTCCATGGCTTAAAAAGGGCTTGGCCCTTCCATCAGAGCCCAGAATCAACATTCTAAAGTCTAGCCCGGACAAGACAAAAAATACCATTTATACAACGATCAGCATTGATAAAAAAATTATGTGTTCGCGAAAACATATTACAAACGGCAATTATTGATTGATCGAGTCATTGACATCACATTTACTTTAAACTGACATGTAACAAAATCATATACGCATAATATTCATATTAAACAGTAAGAAATAACCACATACAATGTCTACGTGTACCTAATTCTGCCACCAATTTATTTCTATTTTTGTAAGCTGTCAAAATTTCCCGCCAAATATTTTTTTCCCCAATTTCCAAAACGTCATCAGATTATGTGCACAGGCACTGGTCAGAAATGAAAACAAACGGGGATGGAACAAAGAGTGTTTAGCACTAAACCGGAGGATTTTAAACAATTTTTGATTGAATTTTGTGACGAATTTAAAGAAAAATGTGAGACTGATGATTTGGTACCAGTGCGGTGGACAAATCCACGGATTACACCGCTGGAATTAGAGGGAGAATGCCTGGAGTGGTGCCGTGACTTCCTATCAACAAGGTAAATTGAGCGGGTGGGGTACAGATATTAACGATGGATCTGTCACATAAATCAGTTAGTACAGAGTGTATATAAATTTAGTACAGATTGATATTTGAAGAAATTACATATTGTCCAGAAAGTGTCTTCCAGTTCTCAGTCTGTTCTATGTTCAAATATTTAGTAATAATGTAAGTTAATGTATTTTTTATGTTTTAAATTATGATTATGATTATTATGAATACTCCTATTGACAGTTTCAGTACTAGCAGATCTATGACTTGCTATTCTTTGTGATAGTTTTTTTAAACCTCAAAATCAAATGGGAAAAGAATCATATATCTTTAAGTGTCTTATTGCTAAACATGGTTTCAAAGTGTATGTACAGTGTATTTATTATTATGCATTTATATATTAATTCTCATGAATGCTTCCTTCAGGGTAAAAAAATTCCAATCCTGATAGAAACTTGGTACCGTGTACGATGTAAAATTCCCAATTTCAGTCAAAATGATGCATTTACATGTATCCCAAAAAGTAAGAAAGCAAACCACAACTTTAATTAAAGAGAAGAAACATATAATTTAAGTGCAATTCTAAATTATTCTTTTAAATAATTGTATACAATCATGAATGTATTTTTCTTTTACAAATACTCATAGTTTTACAGTCCTCAATAGAACTAATATTATAATCTCCATATGTAAAAATGTGTAATTAAATGAACATCATGTCATAATTTATGCATGAAGAAAAAAACAATGCAACTCCTAATCATTATATGTTATAACCAGTAATATAAATATGGGCCAGGTTAATCTATTACAATGTTTTTTTTAAGCTATTGCACAATCACAATGGGATGTAGTCTGAAACTAATCAAAAACACATGGCTTCTTAATTTGACACCACTGTTTTACGTTTTATTACTTAGTGAAAGTGTCTGTTAGGCTATGCAATTATACATTTTTTACAGTTTTATCTTTGATTTTTTCCCCCAGAAAATACAGGTACATGTAGAATGAAAAACTTTTTCAAAAGACAAATTATAAAGTTCTTAATTAAATTATATTTATGCATTGACAAATTGTATAAATAGATACTGTCCATTGCCACAATTGGGAAATATTCCCTAAATAGCTCAAGTTTGTAGGCCTATTTATACATGTAATGTACATACTATAGACCTTTACAAATTGTACCTTAAAATTACCTGAAAGAGTAAAAACCCTCTCTTTTAAGGGCAGATAACTCAAAACATAGGATGGTGACCACCATTTTATTTTTGGATGGCATATTAAAATTGCATCTATCTGCCTTTGGTCCCCACTTTCATGTAGGGCTGTCATTGATGGAAAATTTTGTATTGATATATAGAGAGACAAATATCAACAATGAAAAAAATTTAAATAATAATGTGTTATGAATTGGGATCATGGTGTTCTGCATGCTTGTATTAGACATAACAAATGAGCCGCGCCATGACAAAACCAACATAATGGGTTTGCAACCAGCATGGATCCAGACCAGCCTGAGCATTCATGCAGTTTGATCAGGATCCATGCTGTTCGCTATCAGTTTCTCTACTTGTTATAGGGTTTGTAAGCAAACAGCGTGGATCCTGATCAGACTGCGCGGATGCGCAGGCTGGTCTAGATCCATGCTGGATGCAAACCCGTTATGTTGGTTTTGTCATGACACGGCTCAAATACTTCAAACTAACACTACTAGTAACAGAAAGTTTATTTTAATTTTGTCACGGACATTAAAATTTTGAAAAGGGAGTTTAAAGTTCAAGTTAGCCAAGAAAACTGGAAAAAAGTGACTCCTTTTATTAGGTAAAATATAGAGGTATATTCACTAACAGACTGTTCTTTGTCATACATGTATGCAATTTGAAGGATTTTGCAACAATTTGGCATAAATTTATACCACATCTGGATGATGTGTCGCATCCAAGACCCATGTACCTTTAAGGTCAAAGCCACACATTTGTGTCCAGTCTGTAACTCTGTCATGCATTGACAACTTGGCATAAATGTCATCCACATCCAGGCGTCATCCCATGTCCCTACCTCCAAGGTCAAGGTGATAAGTTTGCTATAAATATCACTTCATTTCACAAGAGAAAATATCTTTTGGCACTGTACTACAAAACCTCTATGGGGGCATTTGTTTATTTTGCGTGACAGCTCTTGTTTTATTCAACAATTTGTTTCTTAATTTAATCATCATGTAAAAAAATTTCTACACTATGAACTACTCACTGGGTAGTTCTTTGGTTTTAATCTGGTTACATTTTTGTTAAATTAAGTCTTAAATTTTCACAAATTGGTAATTGTTTTACTGGAAAAAAGTGAAAAATTTGCTCTAGTGTTGGTTGGTTATAATACAGTGTATAGTAGGGTAGCCTACTTTTCTCTTTAGTTATTATCCAGGTAATTTGTTCTGAGCAGATTGATTATATTTAGGTCACTTGAGGTGTAGTGTTTGGCTGTAACAGCCTACCTGTCTCTGTTTTTTTCATTACTTTGTTGTGGTTCCAATTAATTAACAGTCAATGATGGATGCTGTACATTGGAATCTGCCTGACTCATTTGATCACCTCTTGCTTAAGCTTAAGGTTGTATTTACTCTGCTGTTGTGTAGAAAGCCTGGGATATTATAAAGTTTTATATTCTTACTATTGTTTAATACATAACTAATTTAAAAGTGTGCTTTCTTATTATATTTGATCAATTTAACCTACCAAGCCACTCAGGGCCACAGGTACATGTACCTGAAGTCTAATATCCCATTTCATATGTACCTTCTTATATCTATAATAAACATTTATTATTATTATTATTGAAAAATTTGTTATTATTGTTATTATCATTATTATTATTATTATTATTATTATTATTATTATTATTAATATAAGGTAGGGTAGGGGGTGTGTTGGACATTAGGCACCTGTGCTCAAGACTACAAAATATTATATCTGGCAATTTTTTTTAGTAAAAAAAATTAACACATGTTACTGGTTATAAACATGACCACATATCTTTAATTCACCTGATAACATGACTGCACTTATTAAACAGGAAATTAAAGTTAATGATATGTTGTCCATAGTGTAATAAATAGTTATAATTTTTTCTGCTAGAACCAAAATAATAGCAGTAAAGTCTGATGAAACAAAAAATTAATGATAAATCCCTGGACTTTGCTGCTATTTTTGACAGAATTTTATGTTCCTGTGCTAGAACTCAAAGTGATTATTATCTTTACCACCTGTATAAAGCTGCATGCACATGTTCAGTAGAGTCAGGCCTGAGCCTGCATATCTGTGATTAATTGTTTTATCCAGAATGTCTCATTTAAGATATAGAGCATGGACTGGTAACTTATTGAAACTACACCAGTCAAACACATCAACGTTGTCAGTCAAAACTACTTTTATAGTATTATTTGACTGTTAAGCATTTTGACATTATTGCTTGTGACCCTCACATTAAAATAGACTGCAGGACAATTCCACTATGTTAGCATTATAATTAAAGGCTTACATTGAAAGAAAATCTTAATGCACATTTTCAAAGTCAAACATCATATTATTAAACTATCAATTTCACAAAGATTTAATCAAACTCCAATAGTTTCCAGAGTGATTTCTAAAAGTGATATACATATCTTGTATGGGTGTTATCGAAATAAGGTAATTATACAAATTTTCATTTGCGATGAGTCTCACCCGTGGGGTTCCGCCAGTTTTGCAAAATCCACACTGAGAGTACTGTACATTATTGTGTACAATACTGAATTCTATTGGATAAGTACACAGTTGTTAACCTATGTTGGACGAGGCACTAGCTGAGTCTGATACGGGTTTTTCAGCTATATGCATAAGTCCAATAGAATCAGTATTGTTCTCAAATATGTATAATGACCCATTTATTCACATTTTTTGACATTAGCCATAACTTTGTTACTTCAAGTACAATAAAAAATTGTGATAAATTTTTGAACCTTGAAAGAAAATGAAAATGAGACTTAAGATGGAGTAAAATATATACATGTATGTGATATAGATATTTTTAACCCTGAAATAAAATTGAGGCTAGATTAAGATAAGGTAAAAATTAGTATCCAATAATGATTTTTATTTGAATGCCACATGGTTCAAACGATACAAGTTCATTGGTTATATTTTATAAGATGTGAATTAAATGCATTATATTATATGTATTTGATGGTACATTAGTGTACATGTAAAAACTTGAAGATTATCCTCAAGAAAACAGGAACACCTGTATTTTGTATGAGCTTAAGAGATTTAATTCATAAAATATTATCATATGATACAGGTAGATCTATATTGTACCAGTATTTTTACCAGATTAGATCAAACATTTTTTATCACTATATCATAAATGATTCAGGAAGGATATATATATAAAGGGGTTAATAACCCGGCACTGATAACTGATATTATTCCACTTTATCTCGAAGAATCTTCTTGTCTGTTTCCTTCGTAAGATTGGTATAAATGTGAGATCAGCTATCAGACAAAAAGTACTTGAGCACAGTATGTTTACAAGTGCATCTTTCTGGTTGTTTTGAAGTATGATTGAGATTGAAGTCCTTACATGCTGTAAAACATGGTGTTGTTTTCCCAAGTGCTTGTTCTGACAATATTTCTAGTTATTGATGGTTTGTAGTTAATCATGGTATTAAATAGACTATTCCCATTACTTTGTTAGTATTACTGTTACACGTAATTCTATATAGCTATACTTTTTATTAAAGGTTGCTAAACACATATAATTTTTATCACCTCTCCCCCCATGACCAGCTTCACCCCCCCCCCCCCCCCCAAAAAAAAAAAAAACAAAAACAAAAAAAAAAAAAACAAACAAAAAAACAAAAGCAAAAAAAAAAAAAAAAAAAACAACATCTGAACATTAAATCCTATCTGAGAAACATTGGATTTCATGTATATGCACACTATCCTGTGATCAACTAGCTTACAGACTCTGTGGGTGGTTCCTATATGTAATCTGAGCCCACTTATGCCTAAAATTATACACAGAGGGACACCTTTAAATCTTCCTTTATCTTAGGCTGAAAAGTGAAATTTACCATATGACATAAAGTTTCGATGTTGATAAACAAATTTAAAGTTAATTATTAACAATTTGTATTAGATAAAAAAGGTTTAAAAGATTTTTAGGATATTGGTTTAAATCAAGTGTTCAGAATTAAAGCCATGGGAAACTTTTTCCTGTTGAATTTATTTCCTGTTTTGATTTTTAAATTATTAAATAGTACATGAGAATTTATTTTCACTAAATAAAATGCCTTATAAATGTCCCTCCACTTTTTGAAAAAGCCCCTTCACAATTCCAAAACTGAAAGAAATTATTTTATTACTGTAAAAGTGTTTTAACACATTCATTTTGTATTTTTTTTTTAAATTACATATTTTGGAATTGTTTCAAAGTCATGTACTTGTTATAATATAGCTGTTAGAATATAGGTTAAATATTTAAAAGTTTATTTATCCTATTCACATTTATAAGTTTATTGACCACACATTAAGTTAAAGTTTGTTGGAAGTTCCTTCTTAATGTGTGACAGTAATTTAACTTGCTGTCTTTTGTCACTTGTCCCCCACTGCTTTGGGTAAGAGTTGTTTCCTTGAGCTGTGAAGAAACTTTACTCTCATTGCTAAAAGTAACTCACAGGTAACCGCGGCTGCCTCCATGGGCAAGGGGTTAAAGTCAATGACTTCTAATATAGTTACCTCTCTGGCGTGGGTTCGATCCCCGGGAGATGCTTTGGTAGTTTAGCATGGAGGAAGGTAGTCTAGTACTGGTTATAACTCTCCAGGAACGATGGTTAGGAAACTACCGCCTATATGTCTGAAATACTGTTGGGAAAAGGCGTAAAATGAAACAAACAAACAAAACAAACATAACCCACAGGTTAGTTCCAGGAACAGATTCGTTTTTTCCCCCATTGATTCAAGAGTGTTTAAATAAGCTTATAGCTATCAACGCAGTCAAACTTAAATAAATTTGTATTAACTAAACTAAACATTACTAAGCCGCGTCACAACAAAACCAACCTAGTGGGTTTGCTACCAGCATGGATCCAGACCAGCCTGCGCATCTGCCCAGTCTGATCAGGATCCATGCTGTTCGCTGTCAGTTTCTTTACTTGTAATACTGAGTTGGTAAGTGAACAGCATGGATCCTGATCAGACTGCGCGGATGCGCAGGCTGGTCTGGATCCATGCTGGTCGCAAACCCACTATGTTGGTTTTGTCGTGGCGCGGCTCATTATTTTCTTTTTTTGCCTGTTTTAGAGGATGTCCGGTTGGATTCTCAGCTTTGATCTCTCACGAGGTCTATGAAAGGCTTATCAGTAGCAGCTTGGAGAATTTCTATGTCGAAGATGAGAAAAACGAGACGGAGAGAATAGAAGCTAACCCACCAGAAAACGGCGAGGGTATTGACAACAAAGATGTTGATAAAGACGGGATTGGTGTGTATTTTTAGATGTACATGTTTGTATTTTTGTGAGTACTTAAAATTTGTCCTATTGGTATAATCTATCTGAAGGTTTAATGTTAAAGATTCAAGGTAAACCTAAACTACCGTATACATGTATGTAAAATGGACTTGCCCTGTTTTGAGTTTAGAACAGTCCATCAGTAATTTTTGTATAATAGGGATTTCAGGATTAAAATCTAAAATCCAACTGGCAGAAGTGAAATTATGTTGCTTTATTTGCTCAGTTCTAGTGGCAAAGGTAAACAGTTAAAGTCCCAAATATTCTCAAATTACAAAAAGCATTTTACCTGCATTTTTGTGTCGCCTCTACGGAGTAGTGGCGACATATAGGGATCACTTCTCCGTCGTCTGTCTGTCCGTCTGTCTGTCTGTCCGTCCGTCCGTCCGTCACAAAACTTGTCCGGACTACTCCTCATAAACTACTGGTGCAATTTCATCCAAACTTTACAGGAATGATCAGTACCAAGTCTAGTTGTGCATATTGTCAGCATTTTCCGGTTCAATGATTTTTGTCAGAGTTATGGCCCTTTAATAATTTTTATTTTTAAAGTTTGTCCAGACTACTCCTCTTATACCACGAAGGCAATTTCAATGAAACTTTACAGGATTTATCTGTAGCTCAAGTCCTTGCGCATATTGCAAGGGTTTTCCGGTTGAAAGATTTTTGGCCGAGTTATGGCCCTTTGATAAAAAGGTTTCTTTTTCTGTGTGTTGCCAGATACACAAAAGCTTGTCTGGACTACTCCTCATAAACTACTGGTGCAATTTCATCCAAACTTTACAGGAATGATCAGTACCAAGTCTAGTTGTGCATATTATCAGCATTTTCCGGTTCAATGATTTTTGTCAGAGTAATGGCCCTTTAATAATTTTTATTTTTAAATTTTGTCCGGACTACTTCTCTTATACCACTCATGCAATTTCAATGAAACTTTACAGGATTGATCTGTAGCTCAAGTCCTTGCGCATATTGCACGGGTTTTCCGGTTGAATGATTTTTGGCCGAGTTATGGCCCTTTGATAAAAAGGTTTCTTTTTCTGTGTGTTGCCAGATACACAAAAGCTTGTCTGGACTACTCCTCATAAACTACTGGTGCAATTTCATCCAAACTTTACAGGAATGATCAGTACCAAGTCTAGTTGTGCATATTATCAGCATTTTCCGGTTCAATGATTTTTGTCAGAGTAATGGCCCTTTAATAATTTTTATTTTTAAATTTTGTCCGGACTACTTCTCTTATACCACTCATGCAATTTCAATGAAACTTTACAGGATTGATCTGTAGTTCAAGTCCTTGTGCATGTTGCACGGGTTTTCCGGTTGAATGATTTTTGGCCGAGTTATGGCCCTTTGATAAAAAGGTTGTTTTTTTTCTGTGTGTTGCCAGATACGCAAAAGCTTGTCCGGACTACTCCTCATAAACTACTGGTGTAATTTTATCCAAACTTTACAGAAATGATCAGTACCAAGTCTAGTTGTGCACTGTCCGTCTGTCTGTCCGTCTGTCACAAAATTTGTCCCAACATGAAATTGGCCATCATGAGGCGACACATGTGATTACTGATCGCTCTTGTAATTAATAATAATGAAACATCTGCAAAATTGTATGTATGTTCAGATGTAAAATATTTTGTTTTATGTTTTTTCCCAGAATATTGTGCAGAGAAACTACATGATCATGTGATCAGTATATTGGAGACTGTGTGCCGCAAATGGCTGTCAGATTTCCCAGAATTCCGTATAGATGGCCAGTTTCCTGTTATCTCGTTCTATTGTATCAAAAATACTCGACGAAAAATGGAGGACAAACATGTGATCACCCCTGATCTCAATGCATTGTTTGGCTTGAAGGTTTGTGAGAATTTTGCTAGTATAAAGTGTATATACCTGTAGAAAACATAGTGAAAATGGTGTATTTTAATTATGCCAAGAACTAAATATTGTTAGCTCTCTTAGAAGGTTTTAATATTGTTATCATTAATCATTTGTTGTTAGTTTGTTGTTAGTTTATTCTTTTCTCAACATTATCTGTAAGACTAAAAAGATATTTTCTTTCCACAGTATTATCTGTAGAACTTATAATAAAGACAATTGCCTAGTGGCAAAGCCTTAATAATATTTTCACCTGCTGTGCACTCATCCAAATAAGATTATCAAATTTATAGAGTACCTTCGGCTTATTGAATAACCTGATTGCCCCTCACCCCTGTGGGTTTGAATCCCAACAGGGACTCTGGATTCTTTCATGAGAGAGAGCTTTACAGCTAGCTTACAGAGCATTGCTAGTTCTACTCAGGTGCCAGTTTGTGTCTGAAATAATGCATGGAAGGGCACCTAAGGTCTTCCTCCCCCAGTATAACTTGAAAGTCGTCATATGACCTATACTGTCTGTGACTTATTACCCAACCAAAAACAAATAACCCGATTATTATATTATCGCAACTGAAAACAATTTATTGATATTTACAGGGTCATCCACCTCAGAGTTACTATGGAGTGTTTGACGGCCATGCTGGTATAGAAGCTGCTTTGTTTGCTTCCAAACACATACATTGTAATCTCGTACACAACTGTGACCTCGGTAAAGACCCAGCTGGAGCATGTAAAGCTAGTTTTAAAGTAACAGATGAACAGTACATTCCAAAAGCGAAGAAGGAGGTAAGATAACATTGACAGTGTGGTTAAAGATATACTATGCTCATCTTTGAGTAAATAATTTTGTCGCAGAAATTTATTGAAATATACGAAATAATTACCGTACATGTCTAATTTGAAGAAATTTATTGAAATATATGAAATTATTACTGCATATGTCTAATTTGAAGAAATTTATTGAAATATATTAAATTATAACTGCATATGTCTAATTTGAAGAAATTTATTGAAAAATATGAAATTCTTATGCAGAAGCTTGCATGATATGATTTAATTCAACACGAAGAATGAATTAAATTTTGAACTCATTCAATATCCTTTATATACAAAAAATTGTATATTACATCTATTGTTATGTTTATACTAAAGGGACTGTTAAAATTACAATGCGCATTTAATGCAATATTTTATTGTATTTTTGTAAATTAGAAATTCAAATGAATATGCAGTATCCTAAATGCACTATGCCTTTAGATTGACGCTGATTTTCATGAATTTTTTTTTTATGCATTAAAAAGTAGAATAAATAAAGAAAGTAATTTACACATTGAAAAATAGGTCAGAATATGCAAAAATAAATAATCATTATTGTGTTAGTCACACAGCAGAAATTTGGTGATAAATACTGCAAAATCTGTCATTAATTGCGTAAAACATATTATTTCTTGAACTGTGAATAGTTTTACTTTCTTAAAATCTTAGTAACTATGTACATGTATTTTACAAAATTGATTTTCCTGAAATATTTTGGCTCATCTGGAAGCATGCAGTTGTTAAGTGTTTATAAATGTGTTCCATTCCTATGAATGGAATACAAAATGTAATTTTTTTTCCTTGTACAAAAAAGTAAACAAAATGATGTTGAAACTATTATAAATTTTAGAAATGGCGTAGTGGCTGTACTGGTGTATCAGCCCTTGTAAGAGGCAGCAAATTATACCTCAGTTGGCTTGGAGACTCACAGGCTTCCTTGGTTAAAGATGGCAAGGTGGTTACCAAGATGCTTCCTCATAAACCAGATAGACAGGTAAGAATGTGTTGATTTATTTAATTATAGGCATTGGTTTATACAGAATTTATTATAGTTCGGGTAGAATTCTGTTATGCACTTTGAATTTTTTTCATGTAAGTAAGCTAACCAGTTAAGCTTAACAAAGATCAGTAGATCTATTCTTAAGGGCCTGCTTATGCTTGAAGTACTCAGATGCTTATACTGTGTTGGTGTGACATAAAACCAAACCAAACCAAAAAAAGAAAAAAGGTGCCTATTTGTGCCTGAAATAATGCACAAAATGGTACCTGAGGTCTTCCTACACCAGTAAACTTGGAAAGTTGCAATATGAATTGCATTGTTTGTGTGACTTAAACCCACAGAAAAAAAAATTATCATGAATATTTGTAGCCTAATTCAGCATGAACATTTTGACCCATTATACAGGCTGTCTTTTTCATACTCTCAGACAGTTTGAAAAAAAAACATTGTCTGTCAAAAATTAGCTCCATGTCTCGTTGACAAGTCTAATTAGTTGAACTAGAATATTTGATGAGATTTTTATGCTATTAGGATGAGAGGGACAGGATAGAAGGTCTTGGTGGTCTTGTTGTGCTGATGGGGGATTTGTGGAGAGTTGGTGGAAATCTTGCAGTCTCGCGAGCTATAGGTACTTTCTGACTTACTGTTTTGAAGAAGAAAAAAATTAATACTCTAGTCAATTATGCAAAGAATAATGGAGATACACTACTGGCTTGGGAATTGGTGGGACCATGTCACTCTCTAAATTTGGTGTACTAGTGCATCCCACCTTAGTCTGTGGTATGAAAGTGTAACTTTAGATATGATCTAATGACCTACTTTTAATTGAAAAATTTATGACATTTTCTCGCAATTGATTTTTGTTCAATCTAAGGCCATTTTTTGCCTACTTGTATTATATATGTTTCTTTTAAATATCATAAACTTATTTTTTCTTAAACATTGACTATTACAGGCGACGTTGGTTATAAACCATTCATCTCTAGTGACGCGGAGGTCCTTGAAATAGAGATGGATGGGACAGAAGACTATATGGTCTTGGCATGTGACGGGCTATGGGACGTTGTTACGGAGGAAGAACTTCCACAGTTGGTTTATAACTATCTTATAGAGAGTGATAATGACAGACAAGGTGTAGCGAAATATTTAGTCCAGTATGCCAAAGATAACGAATCTTCGGACAATATATCAGTGATAGTAGTTTTCTTCAGGGATACCATTTCTGAGCCAGTAGCAGACGCTGGTTTATTTAATTTTTTGGCCGGTGATTCTCAGGGGTCTAACGGATCAGGTGATAATAACGGTGGTAATTCAGGTGACAAAAACTCGAAAAATGCCGATGCCAGTAATGAAATGAGAGGCAACTCAAACGATCATCAAACAGGGAATTTATTGGGTGATAACATGAGTGGACAGCAAAGGCTGTTTGTTTTCTCACCAGATGTTGAAGATGAATTTAGTGGACAATTTCAAAGCTCAGGAATCGATGGGACATTTACAGAAAGAGGGTACAGTGATAGATTGGACAACGAAGCATATCAGAAAGATTTTAGCGGCCTTAGACCAGGAAACCTCACCAAATCAGAGATTACGTTAGATATTAGTACAGAAAGTGTACAGAACCGAAACAAGGATATTAATGCTCAAAGAAAAGAATTTAATGAAGATGAAATAAGACGATCGATCGAAAAAGAAATTTCTTATCAAATGAAATTGCCAAAAGAAGATGAAGATTTGGATTCTTATGGTGTGTTCAATACAAGACTCATTGACGGACCAATTGATCTATCAATCTTAGATGATCAAAATTCCTCGTATTTGCTCAAAGACATAGCAGATTCTGTGTACAATCACGACACCGATGGAAAGAATGAGAATTTTTATGCTAGTAAAAGTAACGAAAACTTATTTAGATTACCTGGGTTAAATCATCTTGAGCATGAGTTATCTGCCCCTAAAAAACATAAGAAGCTTAAAAAGGTAAAGACTGAAGGTCAAAGGTCAAGGAGAGATTCGAGAAAGAAAGGTCAATCTAGTTCGCCAGTCTACTGGGCTTTTACGGGAAAGAATCAGGCCAGTGTGCAGAATCACCGGCTCAATATGGCAGCAAAAGTGCACAAGGGAAGCAACCCTACCCCAGGGGAGTTAACTCTTGCAAATAAAGCACCAGCAAGACTCTCCGATAGGTCTTTATCCAAATTTGCTCAAGTCTACTCTTCAACGGAAAATGTGCATGAAATTGCAAACATGACAGTGCCACATGGCAAGTTAGAAAGTTTACCACTACCTAGGCCAAAGCTGTCGTCAAGCAGTTTGTCAAGTTTGACGGGTTTTACCATATTTGGTAGCAAGGCCGGCCTACAGGCGGAGTCACAAAAATTCCAAACAACCTTGAAAACAAGGAAGCCTTTGAAACCGATTTCAACTGTTGTATATGAAACACCTCCTACACCTTTTGTCAGTAACAGATTACACGGGGCAAGACAACACTAGTTTGTTTATAACAGACACACTGGGTCACACACCACTAAATCATTATTACTGTAGTGTAAAGATTAGGTCAGACTGCATGGTTGTTACACTCTACACTCGGTTAAACGACACTAGTTTGTTTTAACTAGACGCATGACCAGACTGTTTAACTTTATTTAATGTAAGAAACTAGGCCAAGTAACCTTTGGTTTTTTTACACTTTTTTATACTGAACACTCTAGGGCAAACAACACTAATTTGTGTACCACCTTAACACTGTGCCAAAAAGTACTTTATTTTTCATACTGGGCCAGGACCCGTTAGTTTGCACTTAACTAAAATCTGGGCCAGAACTAAAATCTGGGCCGGACATAGTTTGTAAAAGGATTCATAGTTATACTGTATTGTTTAACATTTTGAATTTGAGACTTTATCATTTTTAACTCTTTTTACTTAATGATAGATTAAGAATGATGAACGAAAGTTAAAAATACTAACAAATTAAGTACATGTATTCTCTTAATATGGCTCAGTTTCCAAATCTGATATAAATTCCTTGTATAATTTTGTTACTTTGTAAATTCATGTAGATAGTCATATTTCAATTAATCAATGTGCTAATTTTAAAATATATGTTTTTAATATAAAAAAACTATCACTTAGTTTAATTCAAGAATGTCAATAGGTCAACAATGTTTCAGGACAGTAAAAGGTGACACCTTTATGGTTTATTGTTTAATGGAATGGACATTCAATTAAAGGCCCATTATGCCTTAGAAACGTTTTTCCTTTATTTCTAAAAAAGATTTTTCCTTTACATATATTTGGTGTACTTTTATAGTTCCGAAACAGTTAATCATTGGGTAATTAACTGAACGATCTTTTCATCTGTTGTTTTTTGGTAATTAGTGCATTTATTTATAATTTTGTATGAAAGTCAAACTACTACTTTGTTTTCATTGTGCTACTGTTATGACAAATTATTTCATGTTTAAAGCTAATTTCTTCAGGTATAAAACACATGTTTTCTTCTTTATAAAGTAGGAAAAAATTTATTGGTTTCTAAGGCATAATGTGCCTTTAATCAGAATTGTTACAGATAAATAGCTTGTTTATTGATATAACTATCTATAATTATAGCAGATATAAAAGCTGGTTTATGTGTTATCAAATACATGTAAACAGGAAGAAAAATTTTTTTTCATGTCAGTGATAATTATAAACATGTATTTTGTTCATGTTCTAAATACAAATGTATAGCATAATGTGCCATGTATGTACATGTACCAATGTAAAAATGCGACAATCTATAACGAGCTATCAGCTAGTCTAATATTAAGCATACTCACGTGATATTTCAATCTAATCTACATGTATTTGCCTAATAATGCATTTATTAATATGATTCTCATGTTTTAAATTAATCAAGCCAAAGATTACTAATGTAAGCAAAGATGATTTCTTATTATGAGAATGGAACCCAACTATATTGGCTCCATGAAGAGTATTATAACATATATTATATTTTTTTTGTTCCAGAATTATATCTGGTTATTTTAATTCAAAATTTGTTCTCTTTTATTTGCACTTTTTTCCAATCACAAGCCTTTTCGTACTAAAATTTTTTATACAATAATGCTTGGGAATGAATAGTATGGCGATTCTAAATAAGATCAGCATTTTTCTGATAGTTTGATATTGATTTTAACACATTGTTCATTAGTTACAAACTATGATGTATTATTAGTCATAGGGTAATATTACCATGAATCAGAATAAGTGTATTGATTGATTTACTAATGATATTAATCCCTATAATGTATTTAATTTACTTTATACACATCTGTTTAAGCATGATTGCTATGAAAGCTCAAAGCTAATTTGAATCACTCTTGTGACTAATCATAACTGGTTGAAATGTACAGAAATATCGCCACCTCAGTTAACTTCTCACTTAACTGGTTAACTTCTATTCAGTTATATAATGTGTAAATCCATAACTGCTCTAAGGTAACGATATTGTCTGCCCTGTCATTTTCACGGGAGGGCTTTTGTCTGCCTTGTCATTTTTGGACAGGAGGGCTTTTGTCTGGGAGGGCTGTCATCCGGGAGGGTTTTTATCCATTCCCACAGAGTATATTGTACTGTTGCCTGTATCAGTGTGGTATTTTGATATTGAAATGTTTTATACAAATCTGTTCCAAATTAAGGACAGAAAAGTTAATTGATATACACATGTAGAAGGGTAATTGTTAAATTTTTAAGGATGATAAATTGAAGCTTTATACCTTGAAGTGTCATAGTTTAGTAAGTTTACACTCATTTTCTTTTACTTTCATTTTCTTATTGTTTTTTGTTTTTGTTTTTTCTTTGTTTGTTTTTTTCATCTCTGATTGGTTTGTCTAACATGAGTCAGATTATCTATTGCTTTGAGTCAATCAAGTCGGATTCATTCACTGTTTAACAGTGTTATTTAATTTCCTTTTTAATTGTTCATATATGGCACTTTTGTTCACTTGTTAATTCTGTATCTGTGACATTAGAACAAGCTGAGTCTCATGGTTGATTCTTGAAACAGATTTTAAACTTTGTGTGCATGGTCGAATAATACTGCACAGTTCTAGATTAAATGCCCAGTAAAAATATAATCAAGTAGTTCATAGGTATGTTTGATTAATTACAAACTATCTGAACCATGAATCATGCAAAACACAACAATGTAGTGAAAGTTAATATAATGTCTTATTATCTATTTGCATTTTTTTTATGTGCATAGAAAAACAATTTTAATATGTTTTGAACTACATTCAGTGGAGAAAAAATGCACATGACATTGTTTTGGTTTATTGATGTCATAATGTCATGTCATAGATTTATTCACATCATATATGACATTTGGTTAATTGATGTCATAATTGATGCCATACAGTATATTTTGTTTATTGATGTCATATATAACATTTGGTTTATTGATATCATATATGACATTTGGTTTATTGATGTCATATATAACATTTGGTTTATTGATATCATATATTACATTTTGTTTATTGATGTCATACAGTATATGACATTTGGTTAATTGACGTCATATGTGACATTTGGTTAATTGATGTCATATATGATATTTGGTTACTTGATGTCATAATTGATGTTATACAGTATATGGCATTTAGTTAATTGACGTCATATGTGACATTTGGTTAATTGATGTCATATATGACATTTGGTTAATTGATGCCATAATTGATGTTATACAGTATATGGCATTTAGTTAATTGATGTCATACATGATATTTGATTAATTGATGTCATAATTGATGTCATACAGTATATGACATTTTGTTCATTAATGTCATATATCACTGTGTAGAAAGGGAATTCACTGCATCATTTACTGTGAGCCTATACAAATCAGTGAGTTTATGTTATTGTGATGGCTAGCACCTTTAACTTCCAATCTCTGTAACTTCCTATCACTGTATCATGTATTGTAAGCATATACAGATCAATTTAACCTTTTTATGTGATCACAGGAGGTATAATTGTTTCTACACAGTGTATATGCCTTCTTGGTATATTGATATAATATAGGTCAATTTGTTTATTGACATATGTGTCAATTTGTTCATTGATATCTTATGTCAATTTGTTCATTGATATCTTATGTCAGTTTGGTTATTGACATTCTTTTGTCACTTTGGTTAATGACATCATTGTCAGTTGTTTATTGGCATTGTTTATTGATATCACAATAAGTCAATTTGTTGATTGACATGATCAACATCATATATGTCATTTTGTTTCTTGATGTCATACAAGTATTTGAAGTTAAATAATGTGTCAAGTTTTCATTTTCAAAAACGTCACATATGGTTTATATTATGGGCTTAAGAGCTTAGTTATTGTTTAAGGTGCCTGAAAAGGTGTATGGACCCTCATTAAGCCTAGAATACACACAAATGTTATTGTTAAATAATGATATTAAGGCGGCCATGTTAGAATGTTGTACAGTCAGTAGCATATTATCATAGCTTGTTATGTTTATAACTATGTTAATCTATAACAAGTGACACTATTTTTGTATTGTTACAGTAGCAATTTGTTCTTTTATTAGCTCCAGAAGTATAAACGGACACTAACTCATAATGTCTATAGTCTTAATATTTAATAAAAATTTGTTTTAATATTTTTTATTTGTTGAACTAATTTTTGTATGCTTCAATTTGTTGTAATTATTTCTTTCTGTGCTAATATCAAGTTGAATTGTCAACTTAATTCTTTCTTTAACATTGTTAAGTTGACTTGATTTCTTAGTTTTCTGGTTCTATTTTAGAGCATTTAATGAAATAGTAGTAATTACTATTAAACTAAGATTTTGAAGAAGAGTAACTTTTTCATGTCATTACAAAGGTCTTAGTTTTATTACTTATTGTTAGTGACTAACATGGATTTTTAAGTATATTGTATATGCAATGTATGAGTTCATCAACTAAATTTGCATTCTGCATTTACCCTAAAAGGCATTAATATAGAGAACTATTCATTTACTTTTTTCTGGAAGTAAAACTTTAGGTCACATAGTGCTAAATTTTTAAATGACCAGATTGCCATAACCTAGCAGCAAACAAAATTTAACACAACGAACAAGGGACACAACTTTAGCTTGATATATTATTGTCACAATTCAAGTTGTCTCCCTTGTATTAAGCATTTGTAACTAATTCCTTTGCAAGCAGAGTGATCATACATAACTTTGAAAACAACTGGTTATATAGATAATAGTATAGATGTCACAATTGTCCAATGAAATCTCGACAAACATGCAGAATTATATTGAGCCATATAACTTGAACATAATGGGTCATATAACTTGCACATAATTGACTATATAACTTGCATGTAATGGGTTATATAACTTGCATGTAATGAGTTATATAATTTGCACATAATGGGTCATATTACCAGCACATAATGACCACTATACACTGACACAATATATGTCATATAACTTGCACATAATGGTTACATAATGGGTCCATATAACTTGCACATAATCATAACCAACTCTATTTTGTAATGAAATCATCAAAAGCCGTTGTTTTTAATTGTGCATTTTTTCCACAATGGATAAATCATAAAGTTTTTAGTGTTTGTAAAAAAATAATCATTGTTTTGTTGAAATTTTCACAAATTGTGTAAGAAAGTCGGCCAATTTCTAATTTCGTGGTCATTTAAAGTGTATTTTCTTGCCTTATTTATATCACTTAATTGAAAGCTGTGTAGAAACATTATTGGTGTTAATATACAATGTATTAGCTTTAAATGACTTAACAGAGAATTTATTGATTTAATCAGATTCATTATATCTGCATTGAGAATAGATTAATACTACAAAATGTAGACCCTTTTTGTTTCGCAGTGTAACCTTTTTCTGTTGATTCACTTCTGCAAATTGCCAAATTTATTTTTTAAGTATCATACCACTGTATTCATTTGTTACTGCAGTGAATACGAAAATAATTCTAAAAGCTATGGTAATGTACATGTATGTTGGTTTTTTAGCTAATCTGTTTCGAAGAAAAAGTTAAGCTATTATGATATTTTCATTTTGCAAAATATTTAATGTAGCTCATTATTCAAATAATTTCAAAGTTTTCGACATGAAACTTGGAATTGTTCCTTAGGTGCAATTTTTACACAAGTTGCACAAATGTGAAAGCAAATTTAATGAAATAATGCCGCTTTTTTAACAGATGAATGTTAGCACTGCATATGGTGTTCTTGTTTTTGTCTTCTTGTGACATAATTATATAATAATAGGTCTATGTAAATAAGTAAAGTTTTCAAAATAATGGTAGCCTGGAGTTTTGTTAATATATGAATAACATGTGCTATCTGTCAGTGTGTATAGGGTACAGGGTGTTCACTAGCCATGAAATCCTGAGGGTCATTTTGACCAGTAATGGTCACTTTTACCATCTACAAGGCCAAATCCCTATGATTTCAACAAAATTTGAGCCTCCAGTTAAAAATCCTGAGGTCTTATCAGGTCTTTTGGAAATTTGAAAGGTCAAAAAGTCATTTTAAAGTTCAAACGGACACCCTGGGAGACATTTTTGTTTTGCAAATTTAAAGGCTAATTCAAGTGTTGTCAAATTGTTTTGTTTTTTTTAAATTCTTTTGAAGAATGAAGTCTTCCATTGGTTTGTATTGGGTGCAACTATTTTTATCATAATATGACTGCTGGCAATAGAAAACAGATCTTTACATCATTTTGAAAATGACATCACCAGATGTTTGTGATGTCATTAAAGGTTAAAAATATGATTGGGGGGTGGGGGTAGCATAGAGAAGAAAATACCCTCTAGATTTAGAAAATATGAATATATAGTCAGAATAGGAAGATTGCCATTGTTTTTTATTTATTTTTATTTTTTAACATGCTAGAGAATTGAATTTCTTAAAAAAGTAAATTTTGTCAGTTTAAAAAAAATCAATGTTGACATTGATTCTTCAAAACTTCTTACTGCCAGTCCTTGTAAAAAATTTAGTAGACTAGACTATTTGATTAGACAATGTGATTTATGTATGATTAGAATATTGGACAGTATGATTTTCATGAAATTATGTAGTATAAAATTATCAAATTGAAAAATATTTTGTAAAAAAAATATGCAATTGAAAAATATGATTTTCATATATAGTCTTTTGATTGGACAAAATGATTTGCATATAACTACATGTATCTGATTTGAAAAAATGATTTACATATTATAAGTATTAGCTTGGACAACATGATTTGCATATTATAGGTATTAGATTTGAAAATACTATAATCATTGGATTGGATAATGTGATTTGCATATTATAGGTATTTGATTGGACCATATAAATTGCATATTTTTGTTATTGTACATGTTGTATTGGTCACTTTGATTTGCATGTTATAGTTATTGTATTGGTCAACTTGATTTGCATACTATAGCTATTGGATTGGTCAACATGATTTGCATACTATAGTTATTGGATTGGACAACATGATTTGTATAAATATAGGATTGGACAACATGATTTGCATATTTATTGGATTGGATAATATGATTTGCATATTTATTGGATTGGACAACATGATTTGCATATTTATTGGATTGGATAATATGATTTGCATATTATAGATATTGGATTTATAATAATTATGTACATTGACATAAGTAGGTATATACATTATAATAATAACTTCTAATGAGCATTTAGTTTTATAACCTTTTGAAGATAACATGTTTATTTCGTTTGTTATGATATGTTAATGGGTCAATTTGTTAAACAGAGATTTTATGTAACAATGCATGATTTTTTAACATACTTAACTGTAACATAATTATTCAAGCATAACAAATATTAGCTCGCTGTAAATATGCTTAGCAAAAATAGGATGTCAGTCACATTATACCTGAGAACAATCTGTAAATGTGTTCAGCTTTTTTCAGGCATTGACCTTTTGAATTTTAAGCAGCGATGACTTGGTTTAAATACCTGTACATAACCAGGCCGGCCTGACCTTCTGTACTGTCTGACCAGGCTAGGCACTGGAGGCTACAGAGTTTTTGTTATTTTGATAAATCCTTGAAATTTACAATTAACTGTTTCGAATTCAGAAGGGCGATTCCGGTACACCGAAAAAAAAAAACAACAGGGTAAGGGTTGGATGCATAATATTTTCTTGTTTTAAAGGAACTCCACTAAGGTCCAATAGCCTAAAAACAAAAAGTTATAATTTTTTAAATAAATCAGTTGAGGCCTTTAAAAAATAGAGGATATTGAATGAGTGTAAGTTCAATACTGAATTTATTGCACGAGTTGAATAAAATTATATTATGCGAGCCTCTGGCGAGCATAATATTATTTTATTCAACGAGTGCAATAAATTCAGTAATGAACTTACACGAATTTAATATTCTATTTATCACATACCCAAAATAAAGATTAAAGACCGTTTAAAGTGAAATAGAGTCATTGTTTTTTGACGCGCCTATAGTATAACGCTAACATTTAGCACGTCTTTACACTATGTTTGTATAACGCTAATGACGTCACGTCAAAATATATGCACGGCCGTGCAATACCATATTTACGGAGTCACAAAATCGGCACGGGTATGTGATAAAGAAAGATATGCTAATTATGATTGTGAAATATTCTCAGAAACAATTAAAAATCACATTTTTGTGTTATAATCTTAAAATGCACAACAATTTCAATTTTGGGTCATTTTTCACAATAAGAATTATTATTCTGGAAAAAAATCTCAGTGGAGTCCCTTTAAAATATTATGTAACTTAATGTGAAAGGTTGGAGTCCCATCCTGTGAAAAAAGTCTCAGTGGAGTCCCTTTAAAATATTATGTAACTTAATGTGAAAGGTTGGACTTCCATTGCCTTGTGAGTCTTATGATTCTGACTTTGAAGTTTTTGGCCGTCCCTACTTTGAATTCAGATTGCAACAGGGACAATGGAGTTTTCCTTATGAGAAAGCACAGACAGGCATTTGTGGTCTTCCTAAAATTAGCTGTAATGCTGTCCTTTTAGAGAGACAGTGTGGGTTTGGCTTGATAGTTGTAGATCATAATGTGAAGAATTTTTCTCTCTTTTTTCTTTAAAGAAAAGTTCAACATAAATTATTTTGAAAGACATATCTTGACTAAGAATGATTCATAAGCACAACTCGTAAAATATATAGTTATTTACAAAAATACAGAACAGTACTTACACTTGGCCAAAGTAATTTTTTTTCTGGAGAATAAATACAACATTGATGATTAAATACCAAAGCTATATATAGATCTTTCAACTATATATAGATTGTTCAGCTATATATAGATTGTTCAGCTATATATAGATTGTTAAGCTAAATATAGATTGTTCAGCTAAATAAAGATTGTTCAGCTATAAATAGATTGTTAACCTATATTTAGATTGTTCAGCTATATATAGATTGTTCAGCTATATATAGATTGTTAAACTAAATATAGATTTTTCAGGTATATATAGATTGTTCAGCTATATAAAGGCTGTTCAGAATCATCCTGGCTACAAGTCAATAGTAATAAGAACCTTTTTATTGTATAAGAAAATGGTCGCTGAATGCTTAAATATTATTTTACATCTGCCAATATAAATTTGTTCATAGTTGTTAAAAGCTTTTATATAGCAGGACATTGTAGTATTTGCTTTAATTATTGTAGATGTCAATGGAGTACACACGGGTCTTTGTTAATGTATAGATATTAATGCCTTTCTTTCCCAGATGCAGTGAAACTTCGAAAATGCATATTTTTCTTGCACACATGGAAGTAAATTGTTTTCACATTGTATAAGGTATTGTCTTTTTTTCTTGAGAAAATCCAGATATTTGTAAACTTTAAGAATTTGTTTAGTAAATTCTTTGAAATGTGCCAACAACTGATATTTGCATCTAATAAATTGATGAATTTTGTAGCTTTAAAGCAGCACAGCTGAAGATTTCTTGAGAAAATCCAGATATTTTGTGATCGCTTTTCGTCCGTCCGTCCGGCGTCCGTAAACTTTTACTATAAATTACATCTCCTCATAAACCACTAAGCCAATTTCATCCAAACTTCACAGGAATGTTCCTTTGGTGGTCACCTTTGAAAATTGTTCAAAGAATTTAATTCCATGCAGAACTCTGGTTGCCATGGCAACCAAAAGAAAAAACTTTAAATATCTTCTTCTAAAAAACCCAAAGTGGGAGCTTAGATTTTTGGCATGAAACATCTTCTAGTGAGTGACTACCAAGTTTGTTCAAATAAAAGCCCTGGGGTCAAAATTGGCCCCGCCCCAGGGGGTCATTGATTTTCCCTATATGCATATAGTAAAAACTTAAAAATTCTTCTTTTTTAGAACCTAAAGAGCTAGAGCTAAGATATTTAGCATGAAACATCTTCTAATGAGTGTCTACCAAGTGTGTTCAAATAAAAGCCCTGGGGTCAAAATTGGCCCCGCCCCAGGGGGTCATTGATTTTCCCTAAATGCATATAGTAAAAACTTAAAAATCTTCTTTTAAAGAACCCAAAGAGCTAGAGCTAAGATATTTAGCATGAAATATCTTCTAATGGATGTCTACCAAGTTTGTTCAAATAAGAGGTCTGGGGTCAAAATTGGCCCCGCCCCGGGGGTTATTGATTTTCCTTTTATGTGTATAGCAAAAACTTAAAAAATCTTTTTTGAAAAAACCCAAATAGCTAGAGTTTAGATATTAAGCATGAAACATTTTCTAGTAAGTGTCTACAAAGATTGTTCAAATAAAAGCCCTGGGGTCAAAACTGGCCCTGCCCCAGGTGAGTCATTGTTTTTAACTATGTGTGTAAAGAAAAAACTTGAAAAAATCTTCTTTTAAAAAACCCAACGAGCTAGACCTTAGATGTTTAGCATGAAACATCTTCTATGGGTGTCTACCAAGTTTATTCAAATAAAAGCCTGGGGGTTTAAACCTGCCCCGCCCCGAGGGCCTACATGTATATACAGGTGAGCGACTTCAGGGCCATCATGGCCCTCTTGTTTATCTTTTAATGTTTATATACATGTATATATGGGAGTAAACCTCTTTTTAGAATTATTATTTGATTACTTCTTCCTTACAAAAACTGCAACTCTTTTTATTATTTCATTTAAGAATAAAAACTTAACCATCATTTTACCAGCCTCTAAAATTGTTCCTTTTGTTTTTGATTTTTGATCCTGCACTAACGTTTAAGGTGTTTTTCACTGTATCAGTTTTAATATAATTCAGATATAAATTTTAAAAAAGCAAGCTATCATTTCTACTCAAATAAGCCTCTTTTCACTGTGTTAATATACCTTTACTTTTGTCAATAAAATGACAATCCTTTGTGTGTTGTTTCTTATTATCTTAATGGTAAGATTGACATTGTCCTAACAATGAGGACATGACTTTGACCAGCATAGTAGTCATAATATGGATACGATTGTGAAGATCAACATTGTCCTCACAATGGCGTTTTTCCCGAGTTAAGACTGACATTGTCCTCACAATGACGTTTTTCCCGAGTTAAGACTGACATTGTCCTCACAATGGCGTTTTTCCCGAGGTAAGCCTGACATTGTCCTCACAATGGCGTTTTTCCGGAGTTAAGACTAACATGGTCCTCACAATGGCGTTTTGACCGTGGTAAGATTGACATAGTCCTCATAACGGCGGCACTGTCGTGAAGATTCACATAGTCCTCACAATGGTGATTTGCACGTGGTAAGACAATAATAGTTCTCACAATGGCAATTTGCCCGTGGTTAGATTGACACAGTCCTCACGATGGCGATATGGCTGTGATCAGATTGACATTGCTTTACAATGGCCATTGTGCACGTGGTGATACCGACATTGTCCTCACAATGGCAACATGGCTATGGAAAGACCAAAATGGGGTTAGTTGCAATGGTCTGGTGCATAAAGTAAATTTGAAAGTCCAACAGCAAGAGGTATTAATGGCTAGGACTAGGACTGCCTAGCTCGGCTTAAGATATTGCATACATTAAAAACAAACGATTTTTATCATAACTTTTAAAAATTTATTTCATCATTTTCGAATAAGGTCTACACATAGAAGTCAAACTCCTCTTCATTTTCATTCATGCACTTTTCTTCATTTTCCAAACTCATACGTACATCAGTTCCCTCTTTACTTCTGCTTTTGTTATCTCTGTATTTCCCAGAGAAATGTCTTTGTTTTCCTGTTCTTTTTGTCGCCTCAGGTATTGTAGAAATTGGCGCCAAAAAGTGAGGCCGTCTGCTGTCAATATTCGTAACGTGATTTTGACATTCTACGCTATTGTTCGTTTTGTCTCGGACGCCAAACACCATTTCCCGTAACTTGGAGGCTTTCTTTGACTGCTGAGATAACGAATTTAACTCGCTGCAAAATGAAAAATCACGAAATAAAGAATCAGTTTAACATGCTTTGAGTATCAGAATAAGCACTAAATGAAGATTTATTTCAATTCACTGGCAGAATACTTATGGAATCTGACATCCGAACACTTCTCAATTCTTTGCCTTTTGGGTTCGAACCCCATAAGAAACTTTGGATTCTTTTTATGGAGGAAAGACATCAGCCTAAGTGGTGCCCGCCTGTGTCTAAAATAATATATGGATGCAAGACCGCCTCCGTGGTCGAGGGGTTAGAGTCGATGACTTCTAATCCAGTTACCTCTCTGGCGTGGGTTCGGTCCCCGGGAGATGCTTTGGTAGTTTAGCGCGGAGGAAGGTAGTCTAGCACTGGTGTAACTCTCCAGGAACGATGGTTAGGAAACTAACCGCCTATATATGACTTAAATACTGCTGGAAAAAGGCTTAAAATGAAACAAACAAGCATCGCGGCATTTACTCTTGTAAAGTCAGAAAGTTTCATTTTGCATTTTGAGCAGTATCGGCGTGACTCAATGTAATCATTTTACCTGTCTTAAAACATAAAGGCACATTATACCTCAGAAAACACATTCAATAATTCTTTAGAAATTTCAAGCAATTGTTTAATAATGATTTATTAATGAATTTAGAGCATTTAAGATGTATAACATTTGAAGAAAGTGTCGCTAAATGTCCAGTAATGTGTTGCAAAGGTAGCAAAATGTAAAAAAAGTAATATTTTGACTTTCATACAAAATACTAACCCATATTAATCATACCAAAAATAAACAGAGCAAAAGTAGCAAATGAAGATCAAAAATCTAAAACTGATAGTATTTGTAAGGCATAATGGGCCTTTAACAATAACAAAATATTGTATATGTAGACAATTATAATTTTACAGCGTTTTAACGATTTGTTGCGTGTTTCCTGCAGGTTTTTTTTCGGTGCACATTCGTTGAAAGATACTCGGAAGAATTCGTTATTTGCATTAAATACTCTTTTATTTGCGTTTAATACGTTTTTTTATTTGCGCTAAATATTTTTATTTGCGTTTAATACGTTTTTATTTGCGTTAAATACCTTTTATATTTGCGTTTTTTTATTTGCGTAAAAATACCTCCTTTTTATTTGCGTTAAATACTTTTTTCAATTGCCTTAAATACGTATTTTATTTGCGTAAAATACGTTTTTTATTTCCGTTTAATACGTTTATTATTTGCGTTAAATGCTTTTTTTCATTTGCGTTTAATACGTTTTTTATTTGCGTTAAATGCGTTTTTTATTTGCGTTGAATGCGTTTTTTATTTGCGTTTGATACGCTTTTTCTTTCTGTTAAATACGTTTTATGTGCATTTAATACGATTTTTTTATTTGCGTTGAATACTTTTTTTATTTGCGTTAAATGCGTTTTATTTGCGTTTATTACGGTTTTTATTTGCGTTAAATACGTTTTTTTTTATTTGCGTTAAATGCTTTTGTATTTGCGTTGTTTCTTATTTACGTTAAATACTTCTTTTTTGCGTTAAATGCGTTTTTTATTTGCGTTTTATACGTTTTTTTATTTGCGTTCAATACATTTTTTATTTGCATAAATACGTTTTTATTTGAGTTGAATATGTTTTTATTTGCGTTTGATATTTAAAACGTTTTCTTATAGATGTTTAATGATATATAATTGTAATTACCTGGACTCTTTTCTTCCAACCAGGCGATTTGTATGTCTTCTAATCATTTCTAACTCTTGCTTGGCCGATGTCACTATGTCATTATTTATATACATATCTAAATTAAAACAAGCAATTTATAAAAAAGTGAAATAATGTTTTGCAGAATTGCTTTCATCGTTAATTTAGTGAATGTGATACAAAAATAACAACATGGATTTTAAAAATCGATGTAATTGCTTACTGATTTTGCAAAAATAACCCAGCAACAACAACAACAAACGCAGTTGATCCTGGTTTGATTCCCAGATGGTTCTGGTCACTTTCGTTATGATTGATCATGAAATCCTTTCTACGGTCATTCTGTACATCTGCTATGATATGATCAGAGGTTATCAGTTCCATGTGAAAGTGGAGGCAAATAATACTGGTTAACTACTACAGCATGCTCAGGAACGATGCGGTGGCTGAACTGTGCTCTGTTAAATTCAATGTGGCTCACTGCCATGATCCGGAGTCAAAAACTACCAACACTAATTCATAGTTACAGACATATATCTTCAAGTAATTATAATATCAAGTTTTGTTTTAAATAGATTTTCTTCTCCCATTTTTCAAATAATTATAATATTAAGTTTTGTTTTAAGTAGGTTTTTTTTTCTTCCATTTTTTATTATGACACTATACTTACTTGATGATTCTTTGTTTGGCATCAATGAAATCAAATGATCACGTGACTTTGAAGATGCCAGGCGACACATTTGTAAACTTTTAGAGCTTTGCTCCCTGTACGGGTTCATACCTTCCCTTTTCACTCTACAACAACATTTAATCGTAATTTTCATCACCATGATCAAAGTAAGCCAAATAGATAAGTTATTGTTTTCTTTTGTTGTTTTTATTTCTTTTATTATTTATTTTGGTTTTTGTTATTTTCTTTTTAGTTTTATCAAATACCCTGGCCGTAAAGTTTGACGTGACGTCGTAAAAACTAAGCGTTAAATTCACGCTAATTGTTATATGGAGTCAATGTAGAAAATGTTTGAATGTCAACTGCTCTTATTTTGAGTATGTGATAAATAGAATAATACATTTCTTTAGCGTTGTTATTAAATTTATCACATACCACGACATCTCTGCGACTCAGTAAAAACGGTATTACACGACCGTGCAAATATATTGACGTGACGTCATTTGCCTAATACAAACATAACGTAAAAACTCAAACTCCTCACAGTGATTACCCCCTTAATTGGCGCCAAAGAATTAAGGGGAGATCACTGCGTGGAGATTGGTAAAGACTCTGTAAAGATTTCATATTTTTGGTATGTGATAAAATAGAGGATATCACATGAGTGAAGATTCAATATTGAATTTATTGAACGAGTTGAAAAAAATATATTATGTGAGCCTGTGGCGAGCATAGTATTATCTTATCCAACAAGTTCAATTAGTCACGAATATAATTTTCTATTTTTTCATATCCAAAATAAAGACTTTAAAGTGAAAAAAAGATAAATTTTCATTATCGCGCGTATTGTGTAACGCTAACATTTAGCGCATCTTAATAACTTAATTATTAAATTTATTGAACTCGTCGACTAAAGTAATACAATGCTGGTAAGAGATTCGCATAAGGTTATTTTATTCAGTTCGTTCAATCAATTTAGTATTGAAACTACACTCATTCAATATCTCCTTTTTGTATTGAAATCGATGAATTAAGTCAGTATGGAAACTTTATTAATCGATTTATACAATACTCCAATTCTCCTTGTAATTCATGTACAATAATATTGTTGATCATTTCATTTTTTTTTAAATTTGGTGGAACTGTTTTGATAGAATATAGTTACATTTTACAATGATCATGTACATATAGCTAAAATCTGTAATTCAAAAGAACTAAAATGGCTATTTGGTTAAAAAAAAATAACCATCGCGAATCTTTAAATCCCCAAATTTGAAGACCATTTGACCTGCATTTGTTTTCAATTTCATAAAGATATTCTTCATACTTGTTTATTGCATCGTGCGAAAATCAGTCTCTTATAAAACCCCTCTAATACGGCATAAAACTATTTATAACAAGAAACAACAAATGAGCCACGTCATGACAAAACCAACATTATGGGTTTGCGACCAGCATGGATCAAGACCAGCCTGCGTGTCCGCGCAGTCTGATCAGGATCCATGCTGTTCGCTTACAAACCCTATTACAAGTAGAGAAACTGATAGCGAACAGCATGGATCCTGATCAGACTGCGCGGATGCGCAGGCTGGTCTGGATCCATGCTGGTCGCAGACACATTACGTTGGTTTTTTCGTGACGCGGCTCAAATATCAAATCATTAAAATCAAACCTGAAAAATGCTTCCATTTCGACCATCTTTTTCTGCTCCAAGTAATCATTTTTACCGTCAGGAATATACATGTCAAGCGTCAATTCAGATCCCATTTTGCTGCCTGTAGAATAAAAATAAATATATAATTAAATGGATGGATGGATGGATGGATGGACGGACGGACGGACGGACGGACAGACAGACAGATACGTATTTTCATTTTCCGTTTTTTCACTGTAAAAAATTATTTTTCACTGCAGTGAAACATATTTTCCATATTTTCACTGATATCTGCCGGACTACTTTTTCTAAATGCAGCCAATATACAAAATTTAAGTAAAAGTCTAAGAAATTCAATTGTTATGTTTTAGGCTTTTAAACCTCTGTGGATTCCCTTTAATATAAAATAATTTACACATACATATAAAAATCTTAATACTTTTTATTTATGGTTCTCTCATTAAACTGAGCAGATTTAAAATGGAAATAAAAGCACAAAACGTCATCAAGACAAAATGTTACGCAACAATATTTGTGGAGCAAAATAATGGTTAGCAAAAAGGCTATTTTATAATGAAACACATTATTAAAAAGTTAGAAATAACTTACTTTTACTCGTGGAGCACATTTCATGTTTTGCTAAAATATCTTTGTCACAGATGTCTTGTGGGGCAATCATTTTACTTCCTTTCTTGCCTTTAGATGTCTTTCCTCTTGCTTTATTCTTTTTCCTTGGGTTTGGATTGGCTAAAATATAAAATCGTAAATGTATTATTCCAGGTCCTTCCACGCCCGGAAGAAGTTACGTAGCATGCACATGCAATATACATGTGGCAAAGACAGAAATAAATACTAATATTTTTTAAACTATTTTATCCTATTAAATAGAACAAAATTTAAACTAAAATGTCGTCAGTTTAAAGATAAAAACATTTGTACATTTATTACTCTTAACGAACCCTAAACATAAATAAATAAAAAAACAAATTAAAAATTAACGTTTAATATTATTATTATTTGATTTTGATTGGCGGAAATCTGTATATCAATACTTGTTCCAAATGAAATATTTTAACATTCGTTAAGATTTTGAATAATGCCCCAATGTCTTTCTTTTCATTTAGGACCTGCTTTTTGATGTCATATTATTTTGATTGGTGAATCTGCAGGAAGTTCTTTGCAAAATGAAAGTGGGAGATCACAAACAATAAAAAAGCTAAGTCTTTTTATTCTATGGTAACATGGGAAATTGTTATAATAAAGCCAATATCAAAAGTTGAGATATTTAAATCATATTTGCGAGTATTGAAACATAAAATATAGAGAAGATATGTCTAAGTACTAATGCCAAAAAACACAGATTTAGCACTTAAAATGACGAATGGTCCATAAAGCCATGCCTAAAAACCGTCGTGTTATGTCGGAAGAAATGCTTAAACACGGTAAAAAACCGGCTTTTTACTGTTCCGAAAACACTACAATACAAGATGGGATGTCATACATCACCCGGGAACAAGACTTTTCGTCCCTCAGACATTTCACTATCAATGTTTAAAGGCACTTCACCCCTCAAAACAATTCATTCTCAAATTTTGAAGGCACTTAACAACTCAGGCACTTCATCCCTCAAATTTTGAAGACACTACACCCCTTAAAACACCCCCCCCCCCGAATTCTGTGAGAAATTTCGCCCCTCATCACTTATTCACTAGAAAGTATTCTAATAACAAATGAGCCTCGTCACGACAAAACCAACGTAATGCGTTTGCGACCAGCATGGATCCAGACCAGCCTGCGCAGTTTGATCAGGATTTACAAACCCTATTACAAGTAGAGAAACTGATAGCGAACAACATGGATCCTGATCAGACTGCGCGGTTGCGAAAGGCTGGTCTGGATCCATGCTGGTCGCAAACCCATTATGTTGGTTTTGTCGTGACGCGGCTCAAATACGCATTTTCTATGTTTATTTTCTTTACTTATGTATTTTTTTATCTAACCATCACCCACTATGAAAAGGGTTTTCGTTACACGCAAATATACAAGCACTTACCATAAGGGTCTATAAGAGAGGGGGTCTCTTTTATCGCCCGTAAACCCGCACTTGATAATCCTGAAAATAAATGAAATTACTTTTCTGATTTTAAATAACAATCATGATTATGTTTAAGATTACATTACAGTAACATATTTGTTATCATGCGATAATTTAAAAGTTTTGATGTACTCAACGATGTAAGATTCGGTCAAATTAAGAATAAATTCAGGTCTAAAAGTTTTATTTTATGAAATTTAATTTATCGGCTCCCCTCTCCCTAGAAAAAAAAAATAAATAATAAAGTAACAAAAACAACAACACAGCTTACCTTTCATGTTGTTAAGTCATTTCAATCCATGCTTTGTTTCTTAGAACTTTGAAACAGTTACTTGATATATCACGACGTATAAATGATGTCTTAGTTACGACGCTACTACTGTGACGTCGTATTTACCATTTATAATACTGCACGTTTGTAACGTCGTTTTTCATTGGCTCATCGTGACCTTTATATAATCTACTGTAAAAAATATATATAGGCGAGGCTTTATTCACGAGCTCAATAATTTCGCCAAAATTCATCCTCGCATATAAATTAGCTTTATAGAAGCTGTAAAAATGCTGGAATTCACTGATAGTGTTACACCATTACGAGAACTTGGGTATTGGTTTGCCTTTACCCTCATGCTATATGATACGATATATATGTACGAAGTCATTGATTTATTGTTGTAATACCATTCTTTGAACAAAACTTTCATTGTCCATCTAGCGTTGCTTTGCTTTATCATTGAAGTTTTTATTTGAAGTTTTTTTGTCTAGCGTTGCTTGGCTTTATTGTTGAAGTTTTAAAGTCTAGCGTTGCTTGACTTTATTGTTGAAGTTTTTATGTCTAGCGTTGCTTGGATTTATTTTTTAAGCTTTTAAGTCTAGCCTTGCTTGGCTTTATTGTTAAAGTTTTTATGTCTAGCGTTGCTTGGCTTTATTGTTGAAGTTTTAAAGTCTAGCGTTGCTTGACTTAATTGTTAAAGTTTTTATGTCTAGCGTTGCTTGGCTTTATTTTTTAAGTTTTTAAGTCTAGCCTTGCTTGGCTTTATTGTTTAAGTTTTTATGTCTAGCGTTGCTTGGCTTTAATGTTGAAGTTTTTATGTCTAGCGTTGCTTCACTCTTTTTTTTTGAAGTTTTTATGTCTAGCGTTGTTTGGCTTTATTTTTGAAGTTTTTATGTCTAGCATTGTTTGGCTTTATTGTTGAAGTTTTTATGTCTAGCGTTGTTTGGCTTTATTATTTAAGTTTTTATGTCTAGCGTTGTTTGGCTTTTTTTAAAAAGTTTTTATGTCTAGCGGTGTTTGGCTTTATTGTTGAAGTTTCTCAAGTCTTGCGTTCTTTGGCATTATTTTTGAATTTTTTATGTCTAGCGTTGCCTTGCTTTATTGTTGAAGTTTTTATGTCTAGCGTTGTTTGGCTTTATTTTGGAAGTTTTTAAGTCTAGCTTTGCTTGAAGATTTAATGTGTAGAGTTGCTTGGCTGTGGACAATGGCATAATCATGATATAAACTAAAGCCTTCATAATTAGAAGGGAATGATAAAAGCTACGAGGACCAGTTTTGACATCTAAACAGCCATCATCATCATCGTCATCATCATGATCATTATTATTATTATCATTATTATTATTATTATTTTCATTATTATTATTATCATCATTATAATTATTATAATTATTTTTATTATTATTATTGTTGTTATTTTTTTTCTTTTCTTTTTATTATTATTATTATTATTATTATTATCAATATTTTCATATTATTATTATTATTATTATTATTATTATTGTCATCATTATTTTCATTATTATTATTATTATTATTTTTGTTATTATCATTATTATTATTATTATTTTTGTTATCATTATTATCATCATTATTTTCATTATTATTATTATTTTATTATTATCATTATTATTATTATTATTATTATTATTGTCATCATTATTTTCATCATTATTATTATTATTATTATCATTATTATTATTATCATTATAATAATTATTATTATTATTATTATCATTATCATTATTTTTATTATTATTATTATTATTATTGTTGTTATTTTTTTTTCTTTTCTTTTTTATTATTATTATTATTATTTTTGTTATTATTATTATCATCGACAAAGCAAATACTGCACTTTTAAGAATATGTTTTGTTTTTCATAAAATGTTATTCTCATAAATATACGTAATATTTATATTATCGTTTTACCTTTCCATGAACCGACAGCTGTTAACAGCCCGAGATCTCTCCTTTATTGTTTATATATTTTCATAATATTTTTTATGTACTTAAATGAAATATTTGCTTTAATTTACTACATGATTATAGACAGGAATGATTTTGAGAATTTGGCCCTCTATAAGATGCTAGAGACAGTTTGTAGTACAACTGGTATCTTGGTATATTTTACCTTTTAAGGGTTTGCTGAATCCGATAAAGGTGGATACCAAACTGAAAAAAATGGCCATTTAAAATGAGCAGCATAATGGGCGCCAGATTTGTTTATCATAAATGAATAATATATAAAATATTATGATTATTATTTCTAAGAGGACTTCATGGATTCCAAATACATATACATTGTATATATTTATGGCAAATGATGTCAAGCTACGGTAATTTAGTTTCTAAGAAACGTGTAGTCGCTGATTTATAAACAAAATAAAAAAAAAAAAAAAAAAACACATGGACTTGTCCATCTTTACATCTAAGCAAAACCAGTCATCATTTTCGGTATTTTTTTTTTCAAAAATTCAAAAAGTGCAGACCAATAGGACATGCCGTCTGATCAACTTCTTGGTCCGCACTGGCCGCGTGGTATAAACAGTTGTCGCCGCAGTCTGGAGTTAATAAAGTTCACAGGGTACAAGGCAATCGGAACGTCTTTGGCAATTATCTATAATAACTCCGAAGACTAGCGGAAAGGGTCGAACAGTATAAAGAATTGTCCTTATTAAGCTCATATTCTGATCACAGGCATTTGGTTGGTCAGAAAACCAGCGTAGAATTTATATTGACCAATGAAAATCCCGAGATTTTAGACTTATCTCAGGAAAAGGGCTTCGTTATCTCAATGCCAGTGATTATACTCGGGTGCCCGCTAATACATTAAATAACGCACAGAGGGACACGTGAGGTGTTCCTCTACAAGCATAATAATAATAATAATAATAATAATAATAATAATAATAATAATAATAATGATGATGATGATGATGATGATGATGATGCTGATGATGAACAAAATGATGATGGCGACAAAAAATGATGATGATTTTGATGATGACATTATGGAATGGTGATGATGATCATTATGATGATATATAAAGTGCATGATTTTCCGAAGTATCCGCATTTATTTGTAATCTTGACATTCTTTAAATAATCCAAAAATCATTTTTACTCCAAATGTTATATAACCGTTCTTAGAAATAGGCAAAATGCTATATTACTATCACAGCGACAACATCACTTCTTAGAGCAAATTTAAAAAGATATTGATAGCCTGCCCCTGTCAGCACGTTATCGCAGTAAAGTATACAGGAAACTAGTACATGTATACTAATTCCTGGACTAATATTGCAATCTCCACACAATGATCTCCCCTTAATTCTTCGAAGATAAAGGGAAGTAACCTCTGGAAGGAGTTTGACATGCTTCATTAAAGGGACTGCACTATGGTGTTTTGACTGAAAACAATTTTTCGATTTTTATGTTACATTTGATGAAGATCAAGACCAAAAACCGGAGACTATTATTCCGTTTTCAAGAATAATTATTACATGACCCAAAATTGAAGAATGTTGCAACGCTATTCACCCAAATCAGGCTAGGAATACACAAAAATATAATAATTATTATATTATTATTATTATAATTATTATTACAATTATTATTATTATTATTATATTATTATTATTTTATTATTATTATTATTATTATTATTATTATTATTATTATTATTATTATTATTATTATTATTATCGTCGTCGTCGTCGTCGTCGTCATCATCATCATCATCATCATCACCATGATCATTTTTTGCCACCACCATCATCATCAGCAGTATCATTTTGATGATGATGATTATCAGCATCATCATTATTTAAATTCATTTATGCAATTATTATTACCATCATCATCATTATTATCATTTCTGCCACCACCACTTTTATCGTTATCATCATTACGTATCATTTGTTTTCAATCATTATCATCATTATCAATACCACCACTATTATCACCGCCATCACCATCATCATCATTATTTTCATCATCATCATCATCATCATCATCATTATTATTATTATTATTATTATTATTACAATTATTATCATCATCATCATCATCATCATCATCATCATCATCATCATCATCATCACCATCATCATCATCATCATCATCATCATCATCATCCTCCTCATCATTATTTTTATCATCATCATCATTTTCATCGTAATCATCATCATCCTCATCATTATAATCATCATCATCATCATTATTATTATCATCATCATCATTATTATCATCATAAACATCATCATCATCGTAATCGTTATTATTATTAGTATCATTATTATTATTATCATCAACATAAACAGTATTTTTATTACATCCTTAAATCGTGTTATGTAATATTTCCTGGACAATATGTCTTATAATTCAAATGAAAAACACATGCGTACTTTCTAAGTTGTTATTTTATAAGTTTTTATAAACTTTATAACAAGCTGTGACCGGACTGAAGGACAATAATTGTACTTTACACATATTATAAAATAATATAAATACTCAATATATCACGTTCATAGAAAAGCAAGTTATTTTGTTGCGGACTGTATCAAAGGTAAGATGTTTTATCTTTTATGGAAACATTTTATTTTCTATCGAGTGTTATAAATTATTTTTATTCAAAATCAACAAATATCCAAAAGTTTAAAAATGTATTTTGAAAATGTTAAATCTATTTTGTTATACGTACATCTGTAATTGAGTCAATTTAAATACGTAATTATGCCTTCAGAAACGTTTTTTCTTCTTTAGAAAGGGCAAACATGAGTTTTACAACGTTTAAATTATGTTATATGCTGATGACACAAAGAAATTAGTGCTGATCGTGAATTTATTTGTTTTAAAGGAGCAAAATTTAAGCAAATTAGTATTTTAGTACTTCCGTACAAAATACTCAATCACTATAACTAAAATAATTGCCAAAAAGCAGTAGAGGCAGATGCAAAAGCTGGCTTAGCTATAAGGCTAATGAGTAATCTTTTTTGAGCTTTAACATGACACAAATAACGTATTCCTCAGGCATAATGGGTCTTTAAATAAAATTAGAATCGGTTACTTTATTGCTATATGACAAAATGGTTTATATAATTTTTTTTCTTTATTTTTTTTTTGATACACGTTACC